TCCTGGGCAGGGGTGGGGGTGGGGACGACAGTGACGACTCAGAATTCTCCAACCTGTGAGTTTGGGGGAGTCACTGGCACCTGCCATTGAGGCAGAAGTATAAACAACATGCCTGTATCTGTGCAAGTCTGTGTGGTCTCAAAGAAACATGCCATGAGCATTGTGATTGGTCTAATGTCACACCATGACAGGGTTTGTGGTTCAGTTTACTGCAGTACGGGAGGAGGGCGCTCAAGACCCAGGGCATGATGGAAACATCGTAACCACACCCCAGCTCATCACAGGGGTGGGGAGTGGTGGGGGGTGTTCTGGACAGACCCCAACCCTCAGTGTGGATACCAGGTGTCAAACTGGCAGAGCAGTACAAGATTTACGCCTTTCTTTTCTTTTTTCCCAAAGACAGGGTTTCTCTGAGTAGCTCTGGCTGTCCTGGAACTCGCTCTGTAGACCAGGCTGGCCTCGAACTCACAGAGATCCTCCTGCCTCTGCCTCCCGAGTGCTGGGATTAAAGGTGTGTGCCACCAACGCCCGGCCTGTCTTTTTATTTTTTTAAGATTGATTTATTGGGCTGGAGAGATGGCTTAGAGGTTAAGAGCACTGACTGCTCTTCCAGGGGTCCTGAGTTCAATTCTCAGCAAGCACATGGTGGCTCACAACCATCTCTAATGGGATCTATTGTTCTCTTCTGGCTTGCAGGCATACATGCAGACAGAACATTGTATACATAATAAATAAATAAATCTTAAAAAAATTTTGACTTATTATTTTGTGTTTGAGTATTTTTCCCGTGTGTTTGTCTGTGTACCTCATGTCCAGGAAGGTCAAAAGAAAGACACCCTGGGACTGGAGTTACAGATGGCGTTTTAGCAGACAAGTGGTGCTGGGAATCGAACCCTGGTCCCACTCTGAGCCAACTCTCCAATCCTCTTCAGTTTGCCTTTGGCTGTGGAAGTTACAGAAGACTAGGGTGAAAATCACATCTGGCAACCGAGGTGTATAACGTCCTCTGTCTTTTCTAATAAAATAACGGAGATCAAATTCAAATTCGTTGGTTCCTCCTCCGGAAGCCCCTTTGCCCGCCAAGTCCTCTCAACAGGCCACCACTGTCCTGCAAAACTGGTGTTTCTGCAAATGCTCCCAATGCAGTCTCCGTCCCAGACCCAGGTGTCCGTTGAGTAGCCTTCCAGCCTGCTAGTCCTGCTGTGGTTCAATGTACCCCTGCTGAGAGCGTAAAATCAGTGACCTAAGGGCAGGGAACACAGATCATCACCCAGTCTCCTTTGTTTTATCATATGGGGCGGGGCTGCACTTGTCACAGGATAGATACCGTGGAGCTCAGAGGACAACTTGAGAGAGTTGGTTCTTTCCCGCTCTCTTTTTAAATGTTTTTTTTTTTTCAAAACAGGGTTTCTCTGTAGCTTTGGAGGCTGTCCTGGAACTCACTCGGTAGACCAGGCTTGGTCTCGAACTCACAGAGATCCGCCTGCCTCTGCCTCCCGAGTGCTGGGATTAAAGGCGTGCGCCACCAACGCCCGGCTGGCGTGCGCTTTTTTAAGAATAATTTATTTTGGGCTAGAGAGATGGCTCCGAGGTTAAAAGCACTGGACTGGCCTTCCAGAGGTCCCGAGTTCAATTCCCAGCAACCACATGGTGGCTCACAACCATCTATAATGAGATCTGGTACCTTCTTCTGGTGTGCAGGCAAATATGCAGACAAAACACTATATATGTAATAAAAATAAGTAAATAAGTTTAAAAACAAAAGAATAACTTATTTTATGTGCATTGGTGTTTTGTCTGCGCGTATGTCTGGTGAGGTTATCAGAACCCCTGAAACTGGAGTTACAGACAGTTGTGAGTTGCCGTATGGTTGCTGGGAATTGAACTCAGGTCCTCTGGAAGAGCAGTCAGTGCTTTTAACCTCCGAGCCATCTCTCCCCCTTATTATTTTATTTATTTATCTGCCCCCTCTCCCGTTCCCACTTTGCACCTTGAGTTCCAAACTCACGTTGTCCACTAGGTGGCCAGCTCCTTCAAGTACTGTGCCGTCGCACCAGCCTCTTTTTTTTCAATGTGGTAAGAAAAAGTGCACTGTGCCCTACTGCAGAGCAGAGGGCTGCCTCTTTGGGACTTAACTCCTTCCTCGGAAACCTACTAGGAACGTCTCCTCTGTCGAGGGCTCTGGTCCTCATCTCCACATCCGAGCTCCCTCGTCAGCATGGGGACCACTGGCCCTTTAAGAAGCTCCGCCCCACAGCTGGTAGTCAATCGCCTCCGATTGGTCCCGAGCGCGTCCGAGCGCAGCCGAACTTGACGCACCCGCCCGCAACCTGCCGGACGCGCCTCCCACGCGGCTCCGCAGCTTTTTAGCCAATCGCCGCCGGGCGCGCCGAGTTAATCTGCATGACCTCGCCCCTCGTGGAGTCCTTGGCCAATTGGAGCGCGTGTTCTGCCCTTGTTAGCATATGGGCGGGGCGGCCGCGCGCGCTTGGTTGGAGCGTCGGCGCATCCCAGGTCCCGGGAAAGTTTTTTCGGAGGTGAAAAGAGCCGGGAAGTCGGGGCCTGCGCGGGGCGGGGGCTGCGGGGCGCGGGGCGCGGCCTCCGGACTCGATCTCGCAACAAAGGATCTCGGGGCAGCTCGCCCGAAGACCTCCCCGCCTCGGGGTCCGCCTCGGGGTCCGCCTCCCCCACCCGGGCGTCCTGGGCACCGGCCTGGGGCTCCCATCGGGGTGGCGGGCAGGACCCCCTGACCTCTGCCGGCCTCCGTTCCAGGTCCCGCCCAGAAAGGCCATGTCCCACGGCCCCCGGCAGCCAGGCGGGGCCACCGCGTGAGTGCGCCTCCCTCCCCCAGCCTGTCCCCTCCCTGGGCGCCCATGGACGTGCCCTGTCCCCACCCTTGGGTATCCATAGACAAGCGGTGTTCACCCTGGGTACCCCGGGCTGCACCCCCCAGGCCCGTGAACACACCCCATCCCCATCCCGGTGGGTACTCCTAGACCTGGACGTGCCCTGTCCCCACTCCCATGTGACTCTAGAAATGTCCTGTCCCCAACTCAGGGCACCCCAGACACGGCGCTCCTGGCCATGCGCTGTCCCCACCATCCCATTCCTTTGGGCACGCTCTCTGTTACCCTGGGCATCTTGTTGCGGGAACCCCTGGTGCGGTCCTGTCCCTGCCCCTGTTCCCACCCTGGGACCTCTGGCCATGCGCTGTCACTATTTGGAGATTCCTGGCTCTAGGATCTGTCTGTACTGCCCCCAGAATTGCTAGGGCACCCTGTGGTCTCCTCCCTCGTCCTGCTCCCAGACTCCAGGACGGCCCCACCGCACCCGGCTCCCAGCCTGAAATCCTCGGACTGTTCCCACGGTGGTCTGCCGTGACCTTGGGTCCCACTCCTCCCTTTTTCCGGGCTCGCTCGCGTGTGCTCCCACACACGTCTGTGATCCATCTTCAGCCACAGGATGGAGATGAGGCTTGCGGGAATGCTTCTGGCACAGAATGACCCTGGTTTCCCATGTCCCCAAGGCCTGCAGGAGGCAAGACCCCGGGCCAGCACGGGGCCTTCGTAGTGACTGTCAAGCAGGAGCGCAGCGAGGGTCCCCGTGTGGGAGAGAAGGGGTCCCAGGAGGAGGAGGTGAGTCACACCCCTGACAGGTCCAACCGTGAAGGATATTCCCGCCGGGGGCGACAGGTCCTGTCCTATCTGTCAGTGGCTTCAGCGCCACCCCCGGCAGGCTCAGCCTTGGCCCAGGACCCCTTCTTTTGACTCTCCAGAGTTCTGACCCTTGACCTGCCGCCCCGTCCCCGAGCTAGACCCCGCCCACACGGCCCAGGGCCCCTCCCAAGGACACAGCCCCCTCTTGTAGCCTGTGAAGAAGAGAGGCTGGCCCAAAGGCAAGAAGAGGAAGAAGGTTCTCCCCAACGGGCCCAAGGCCCCGGTCACCGGCTATGTCCGCTTTCTGAACGAGCGGCGGGAGCAGATTCGCACTCGCCACCCGGACCTGCCCTTTCCGGAGATCACCAAGATGCTGGGCGCCGAGTGGAGCAAGCTGCAGCCGGCAGAGAAGCAGGTGGGGACGGGGGAGATGGGGGAGGCGGACAGGAGGGTCCCAGGGCTCCTGGCCAGCTAGCCAGCTCCTGCGTGAGCGACCCTGCCCCAGAGCAAGGTGGAGAGCGATGGCGGGCAAGGGTTTGCGTGTGCACAGACACGCACCCATTCGCACCGCACAGATACTAAAGAAAGGTAGCACAAGCCACAGCAGCCAGAGAGCAGAAACGGCGAAGGAGAAAATGCCAGACGTCAGCTAGGCCCCCGGAAGGGATGTTGTCGAAGAGTTGGAGGGAGGGAAGGGAGGCGGGGCTACGGATGGCTCCGTGGGGGGCGGGGCGGGCCCTGGCTTTCTGCCTTTGTCCGGATGGCCCTAGCTTGCGGGTGCTGCCCCTCCCAGCGGTACCTGGACGAGGCAGAGAAGGAGAAGCAGCAGTACTTGAAGGAGCTGTGGGCATACCAGCAGTCGGAGGCCTATAAGGTGTGCGCGGAGAAGATCCAAGACAGCAAAATGAAAAAGGGTGCGTAGGCGTGGCACCCCAGACCCCGTAGGGTGCGTAGGCCGTGGCACCCCAGACCCACCCGACGGGTTGGGGGCATCAGGACAGAGTCACAGTCTTGACCCTGGCCTGGGAGGTTGGGAGACTCCCGGCACCCTGGCTGACCCGCCCTCCTCCCTCTCCAGAGGACTCCGGCTCTGGGCTCATGAACACGCTCCTGAACGGGCACAAGGTAAGGGTCCCTCTGGCCAGAAGCCCCCGGGGAGAAGACGGGTGTTTCAAGCTAGTGGGGGCCGTGTTCAGAGGAGGGAGTGACCATGGCCGCTTCTACCCAAGACGGACCCCGTCGTCAGAGGAAGGCCACTGTGGGGACACAGCAACCCTGGGGTGGGATGTGGCTTAGTGGTGAGATTGTGACCCGGCATGCAGAGGACCAACACCCAGACACACAGTCAGTTGAAGGTTTCTTTCACTTGAGAGAGAGCCTCATGTAGCCCAGGCTAGCTTCTGTGTGGCTGAGGATGGCCTTGAATTCCCAATCTGTCTGCCTCGATTTTTCCGGTTGGGGGGTGACAGGCGTGGCGGTGCATCCCAGAGCTTTGTGCTGGGCCAGTGCTCCATACTGGGCCCCAGCCTTGCTGCGGCTGACTGTTGCTGAGGTGCGCATGGTGGCTCACTCGGGAGCCTATGGTAGGAGGATCATGGCAGGTTTGACACCAGCCTGAATCAGAGCAAGACCCTGTGTCAAAGCAGGAGCCCAGCGGTGTTAGCGCACGCCTTTAACCCCGGAACTCGTGAGGCAGAGGCAGGCTATCTCTGTGAGTTCCGGGACAGCCAGGGCTACACAGAGAAACCTTGTCTCAAGAAACAAAAACTAACAAGAGAACCATAAACATGACAGGAAAAAAAAGCCAACCACGAGAATAAACCTACCATAGAGCACCTGCGTGGTATGTGGAGCCCTGGCTTCAGCCCTGAGAGGCTGGGCGGCTCTGCAGAAGCCTGGTGCTACGCCCCCAGCACCCGCATGGCCGATCACCGTCAGCTCCGGGTGTCTTCTGCCCTTGTCTGGCCACTGTGGGTACTGCACGCATATGGCAGACACACACAGAAATAAATAAAAGCAGTCTGCACTGCCAAGGAGGCCCAGGAGACCCTCCCAGGTTCCAGAGAAGCGGGTCCCCTCTAAACTCATTGCTATGTCCCAGGGTGTGGACTGTGATGGCTTCTCCACCTTCGATGTCCCCATCTTCACTGAAGAGTTTTTGGACCAAAACAAAGGTGAGATTTTGGCAGGTGCTGGTGCCTTGGCTGGAGGAGGTGGAGATGGATCAGGGCTGGAGCGGAGATGAGGGGGATGGGGTCAGAGGTGAGACCAGGGATGCCAGGGAATGGGGCCAGGGGTGGGGGATGGCGTCAGGAATGGAGTGGGTATGGCGCGCCCTCCGGGACAGCGCGGTGGTCCCCGGGACAGCCCTGGGCTCTGACTCCCGTCCCGTAGCACGTGAGGCGGAGTTGCGGCGTCTGCGGAAGATGAACGTGGCCTTCGAGGAGCAGAACGCGGTGCTGCAGCGCCACACGCAGAGTATGAGCTGCGCGCGCGAGCGTCTGGAGCAGGAGCTAGCGCTGGAGGAGCGGCGCATGCTAGCGCTGCAGCAGCAGCTGCAGGCAGTGAGGCAGGCGCTCACCTCCAGCTTCGCCTCGCTGCCGGTGCCGGGTGCGCGACCCCGCCCACAGCCCAGGCCCCGCCCACAGAGCCAGGCTCTGCACATCTATTTCCCTGGCCCCGCCCAGCACTCGCTCCACCCACGCATGCAGGGCCGCCCATCTGCCCCGATGCCCCGCCCACAGGGCCCGCCTTCTCTGCGCGTTCGGGCCCGCCCCTTCCTCTCCCAGCGCAGGCCTCGCCCCGCCTGCAGCGCCAGCTCCCTGGTCCCGCCCCTCGCTGACCCTGTGACCCGCAGGCACCGGAGAGACGCCCACTCTCGGGACGCTGGACTTTTACATGGCGCGGCTGCACGGAGCCATCGAGCGCGACCCCGCGCAGCATGAGAGGCTGATTGCGCGTGTCAAGGAGATCCTGGCGCGGGTGGCCAGGTGCGGGCGTGGGCGGGGCGGGGCGGGGTGTTGGAGTGCGGGCGCTCTGCCTCACTGTCGCCTTCACCCCCTTCTGTCTCACAGCGAGCACCTGTGACAAACAGGCCTCTGGAACGCGAGGCGACCCTTCCCACCCACCCAGCCAGGAAGAAGCTGGTCCCGATGGGGCCACTCCCGGTGCTGCACCTTGGGGTCTCCAGACGCTACCCCTCCCGTGAAATGTCATCCTCATCCCTTTAGCTTCGAACCCTAGGCTCCCAGGTTGCAGAACCTACCTCCCTTGCAGGAAGGGTCACACAGCAGTGGGAGGGGACGGGAGCCACAGCCACTCGACTTGGACACACCCCACTCCTGGTGCAGAGCGTCACCTCGGGGGCTCTCTGCGGGACCACGACCCACTGCACAGGCGCTGGCCGACGTGGCCCATCCAGGGGGGCTGCAGTACACCCCTCCAGCGCCTTCCGTCACTCAGTCCGGACTTTTGAATAAGTGTCAAATAAAGCAAGTGGGGTTTGCACTCAGGTTAATTGTGCGGCTTCGAGAGAGTGGGCTCCGCCCAGTCACCGTGGGTGTTCAGCTGTGGTGGTCCCACCTGGCCTCCTACCTCAGGCAGAGGGTGTCAGATCCTCCCCACTCTGGTATCGGGTGGGGAAACTGAGGCAGAATGGGGCTGAGGTCTCCTGAGTGTCTTGGGGGGGGCTGGCCACTCAGTTCATCCAGCCCAGTCCACTTCCTCAGGAATTTTACTGCTTTGGCCTTTAGAAAACTGCACTTGACAGGGCCCTCCAGCTGTCAGCTCTATCTCCCGGACTGCAGCCTCCTGCACCCGCCGTCCATGCCCATTTCCTGTCACAGAGGTTACACTGCCTGGCTTGCTCACTGAGCACGGTAACACCGTCGGGTACTGCAGGGCATGCCCTCTTCATGGTTGAGTAATACTCCAGTGTCCCTGGACTGTCCCTGAGCCCCAGCTTGGTGAGTCACCGGTGAGGCCAGCCTGTGTCTGCTTCCTGCTAGACCATCCGTTTGGATGGCAGATGACTTTGTCTCAGATAGCTCTAGCTCATATGTGAAGTTCCCTGCCAGGGAACTGTTTAATTAATTAATGAGATAGTGAGGATATCTCTTAGAACTTGCACAATTTGACACACATATTTGGTGCTGAGGAATTGTATCCCTCCACCCCTGTGTCCCAGCCCTCACCCCAGAACCTCCAGGCATGACCTTATTAGGAATTAGGGTGCTGGCTGGTGTAATTAACTCTGATGAGGTCATGTCGGGGCGGTGGGCACTGTGCCAAAGAGAGAGTCCTTTCGAGAAAGGGACCGTTGACACAGACCTAGGACTCCACTGCTTGATGATGGTGACAGAGGCTGAGACTGAACAACAGGCCAAGGACACACACGGAGGCCTCCCAGAGCGTGGGAGGAGGGGACACTGATGCCAGACCTCCTTTTACCAGGAGAACCCTGGTGGTGGTGGCGCAGCCTTTAATCCCAGCACTCGGGAGGCAGAGGCAGGCAGAACTGTGAGTTTGAGGCCCGCCTGGGCTACAGATCAAGTTCCAGGACAGTCTCCAAAACAATACAGAGAAACCCTGTCTCGAAAAAAACCAAAACAACAACAACAAAAAAAACAAAGAACAAAAGAACAGTCAGGTGCGGTGGAAGATGGAGGCAGGAGGACCAGGGCCAGGCTCTCTCTGCTGTGTATCAAGTTTGAAGTCAGCCTGGGCTACATGGGACCTGCCTTGAACACAAGGGTGGCTGGGTGTGGTGAGCTCCCCCTTAGTCCCAGCTCTTGGGAGGCAGAGGCGGGAGGATCCCTGTGAGCTCTAGGTCAGCCTGGGCTACATAGTTGAGACCTGTAACAAAAGAAGAAAGTGGGGTGGTGACTGGGGTCAGTAGAAAGCCTGGCAGCATTCAGGAGGCTGCGGCAAGGGGATCAGGAGTTCAAGGCCAGCCTGGTTACAGAGTGAAGTCCAGGACAGCCAGGGCTACTCAGAGAAGTTCTGTCTCAAAAAACAGACAGACAGAAGAACTGGGGGAGAATTAATTCATTTTGGGTTTTGTTTTGTGACAAGGTCTCATGTAGACCAGGCTAGCCTGGTACCTTAATCTCCTGATCCTCCTGCCTCCACCTCCCTTGTGGTGGTGTCGCCATACCTAGACCCCCCCCTCTCACACACACACACACACACACACACTCTCACACACACTCTCACACACACACACACCTTTCAAACACCTCCTTTTGGCACTGTGGGGACCCAGGCATCTCCTCACCTGGCTCAGGTCTATTCCACCATATACCTGGGTCTCCATCCCAGCACTTGGGGAGGCTGAGGCAGGAGGATTAGGAGGCGTTCCGGGTCATCCTTGACTACATAGTGAGTTCCATGCCAGCCTGGGCTACAGTGAGACTCTTTCGCAAAAAGGAAACTTATTAGGGGAGAGATTGGAGGTACCGGGCAGCAGGAGGTCCTTGGGATAAACAGGTGAGCAAAACTCACTGGAAGCCCCGGGGACTGAGCCCCAGAGGCGGTCTCAGCTTGTGCGCGGGCCCTGGGGCAGGGGGAGGAGGGAGACTCCTGGCTGAGCAGAGGGAGGGAGGAAGGGGCAGGGTGCCGGGGCTGCAGGGGTGGCGGTGGGCTGTGCGCGCAAGGGGTAGGGCGGGGCGGGGCTCCCGGGACGCCAGGACGGCGCACAGCACCCGGAGCCCGGGGGGCCTCCCCCTGTTGTTCCCGGGTCCCCGGGGAGCTGCGCGGCTGGTCCCGGCGGTTTCACCTTCCCCCAGGCAGATCGGGTTCCCGGATCTGCTTACGCCCCCCTCCGCTGTCGCTGGCCAGGGGCGGGAGGCGCTGGATGCGGCGGACCCTGCGCGCCATGGACAGCGCTGCGCCCCGCGAGCCCGGGGCCACTGAGACCCCCGCCCGCGCGCGCCCGCGCCTGGTGTTCCGCACGCAGCTGGCGCACGGCAGCCCCACGGGCAGGATCGAGGGCTTCACCAACGTCCGCGAGCTCTACGCCAAGATCGCCGAGGCCTTCGGGATAGCGCCCACAGAGGTGAGGGCGGACTCCGGGACCCGTCTGCACGCCCCGCGAAAAATCGTACCAGACCTTAGGGGTGGGGTCTCTAGGGGTGGGGTCTCCACATCCGCCGAGGACCCGACCCAGGCTTCAGGAAGCCGGTGTAGCTGATGGGTTGGAATCAGCGCACTGGGTAGCGTGCTTGCGGCTCAGTGGGTAATGCTCAAAAAGCCAAGTTACCCCCCACACACACACGTAAACCAGGTGTCGGGTGCAAGGCCTGTCATCCCAGGTGGAGGCAGGGGTGGGAATTCAAAGGTCTGTCATCCTCAGCGACATGGTGACTGCGGTCAGCCTGGGATATGTGAGACCTGTCAAAACACCACTTTCAGTTTCTTGAATGTAATTCTTGTATTACATTTCTCTTTGTTGTTTCTCTAATTCTTTTTTTTTTAATTGTGTTTACGAGACAGGATCTCACCATGTAGCCCTGGCTGTCCTGGAACTCGCTCTGTAGACCAGGCTGGCCTTGAACTCACAGAGACCCACCTGCCTCTGCCTCCCAGTGCTGGGATGAGAGGCTGCGCCTCCTCTCAGCATATTTTAATTTTGTCATGTGTGGGGCAGCGCCTGTCTTCCACCGCGTAGGTCTGGGAGAGCAAGCAGGCTGTAAGTCTGGCAGCCATCTTTCCCGCTCCCGTTCCTTTGTTTAATTGAGATAAGATCTCACTTTGTAGCCCAGGCTGGCCTGGAACTCGCTCTGTGACCCAAACTGGCTTCTAGTTTGCAGCCACCCCCTTGCCCCAGCTTCTCAGCTTCTGAGGTTACGTTGGTAAACCATGATGCTCAGACTCTTATTTTGGGGAATCTGAGACTCTCGGTTGTCCTCCTGCCTCAGAAGGCACCAAGCCCACAGTCAGGCCTGCCCCCCTGGTCACCGGGGGCCACTGCTGTCCCACGAGGGGCACAGGTGCCTCTGGCCTCTAGGAGGCGTCCACAGTGCCCGTCTACCACAGAAAGGTATGCACAGGTTGGTCCGTGCATGACTGATTCTGGGTCCCCGTCTTGTTGGGACAGATCCTATTCTGCACCCTCAATAGTCACAAAGTGGACATGCAGAAGTTGCTTGGGGGACAGATCGGGCTGGAAGACTTCATCTTCGCGCATGTGCGCGGAGAGACCAAAGAAGTGGAGGTCACCAAAACAGAGGATGCCCTAGGGCTGACCATCACCGACAACGGGGCCGGCTACGCCTTCATCAAGGTGCCTGTGGGTGTGTGTGGTGCCCTGGGGACCGGTGGCCCGCCCGGGACCAAGGGCACTCGGGACCCCAGGAAGACCCCTGGCGGCCCCACAAGTGACCAATTCCCCACAGAGAATCAAGGAAGGCAGCATCATCAACAGGATTGAGGCGGTGTGTGTGGGGGACAGCATCGAGGCCATCAATGACCACTCGATCGTGGGCTGCCGGCACTACGAGGTGGCCAGGATGCTTCGGGAGCTGCCCAAGTCTCAGCCCTTCACCCTGCGCCTGGTGCAGCCCCGGAGAGCCTTTGGTGAGGACAGCTGCGCCCCGGCCGCTGAGAGGCAGGAAAGGGTTTTCTGAAACTTAGTCCCATAGCCCAGGCCACCCTCAAACTCAATGTGTAGCCAAGGATGACCTAGAACTCCTCATCCTGGCCCGGTTCGCGATGACTCCTGCCCAGTGTGCCAGAGGGCGGTTTCCACCGGAAGTTCTCTGACTGGAGACTGAGCACGGTCCCAGGCTCTTGAGGGCTCTGAGCAGTGGCTTTGGCCAACACTCACTCCTTGTCAGGAGCTCCTCAAGAGGGGACAGCCACAAGTGTCCCCAGACACTACTCAGGGTCTCCCAGGGGGAGAATAACACACTGGGTTATTCCAGGCAGGGCTCCACCCTGACCACGCCCCCAGCACCAAAGTCTTTCAACAGCCTCCAGGAGACTGAGGCTCGCAAATCCTGAGTTCGAGGTCGGCCTGTTTGCCAAAAGGAGAGCAATCATGAAAAAGAGTCCACACGAAACGGAACCCATCTGTCCCCGCTCTGTGCCCTCCAGACATGATTGGCCAGAGGAGCAGGAGCAAGTGTTCCGTGGAAGGCAAAGTGAGCAGCGGGAGGGAGACGCTGCGGCTGCGGTCTGGGGGCGGCGCCACCGTGGAGGAAGCGGTGAGTGACTTCAGGCTCCACGAGGAGGAGTCCCAAACCTGGAGCTGTGCTACTGATGGTGGAGCCACAGTTACAGTCTTGCAGAGCTTGGCGTGGGACAGTGGTCCAGGACTCGGCACTCGGGAGGGTGTGACAGGAGGATCGTCATAGTTCAAGGCCAGCATGAGCTTCACACTAGAACCCTGTGTCCCAAAGATAAGGACCCTGTTCTCAGAGCCCCGTTTCCCAGCTCATGCAACGGGTACCGGGTTCCAGGGGTGCCACCTGTTGCTGACCAGAGAGGCAGGAGGGACCAGTGTGACCCCAACTCATTAGTTCTTTTCTTTTCTTTCTTTTTTTTTTTTTGTACTTGTGTGAGGGCAAAGATTAGTGTATGTGTATTCCTTTCTCCCCACCTTTAAGTTTTTTTGGTTTTTAGAGACAGGGTTTCTATGTATAGTCAGGCTGACCAGGCTGGCCTCGAACTCACAGAGATCCTCCTGCCTCTGCCTCCTGAATGCTGGGATTAAAGGCCATGCCATCACCTTCATTTAAATTGCATTATTACTTTATTATATTTTGCCTATGAAGCGCGCGCGCGCGTGTGTGTGTGTGTGTGTGTGTGTGTACATGCGTGTGGAGGTAATACTTGGTTCTCCCTCTACCTTTATGAGGGTTCTAGGAGTTGTAATTCTGTGAATTAACTGTATTAGATAATGGGTGTCCTTGCCTGAGATTTTTTCACGCGTGTCAAGTGTGTTTCATTTCACTCCCTCACTTCCTCATCGCCTCTCCCCCTCCCTCCCAGACCTCCTCCACCCCTCACCTCTTTTTAATGACCTATGATTTGCTTCAGGGTCCTCAGAACAGCAGCTACACCACTGAAGGAAGGATTGCCTAATAGTTAGCTGTCAATCACTCCTGGGGGCGGGCCGCCAGGCCCCTTCCCGTTAGCGGTCTATTCATCCCCTAGCCACCCCTAACCTGTCAATCCTTAGGGTCAGTTCGTGTCCTTGGTCCTTGCCCCAAGCAACCACAAAAAGTTTATCAATCCTGGGGGCAGGACCTCCCGCCTGCCACTCACCCGGCCGCCCTCCTGCCCGCAGCCCAGCGACGTGGAGGCCGAGGCTGCACGCAGGGTGGACGACCTGCTGGAGAGCTACATGGGCATCCGGGACCCCGAGCTGGGTAAGCCGCGCGGGTAAGCGCGGGGTCCCCGGCGCGGGCGGTCCTGTCCGTGCGTCTGTGTGCCCTTCACTGTCTAATCCACCCCTCTGCCTGCCCACCGCGTCCCTCTGTTGTCTGTCCACCCCGTCCCTCTGTCCCTCTGTTGTCTGTCCACCCCATCCCTCTGTTGTCTGTCCGATGCGCAGCAGCCGCAGTGGTGGAGACTGCGCGGAGCTCGGCTGGAACCCAAGCCTTCGCGCGCGGCCTGGACGCTGTTCTGGGCGAGTTCGCCTTCCCGGACGAGTTCGTGGTGGAGGTGTGGGCGGCCATCGGAGAGGCCCGCGACGCCTGTGGCTAGCATGTGCGGGACTCCGCAGTCCCGCGCCCAGCCCCCAGCCGCGGCGCTGCTCCAGAACCCAGGACAGCCCACAGACCCGGCCTGGCTCTAGAACCTGGCCCAGTTCTGGAACCCAGGCTCACTCCAAGGCCCACCCTGGCTCTAAAACTGGACCCAGCTCTGCAACCCAGGTCAGGCCCGAGGCTCAACCCAGCTCTAGGACCCAGGTCAGTTCTGAGATCCAGCTGGAATCCCACCTGGGTTCTGGAACCCAGTGCAGGCCCGAGGCCCAGTCCAGCTCTAGAACAAAAACTGAGACCCTACCCAGCTCTAGAATGGAGCCCAGTTCTGTAACCCAGGGCAGCTGTGAGACCCAGCCCAGTTCTGTAACCCAGGCCCACCCTGAGACCCAGCCCAGTTCTGTAACCCAGGCCCACCCTGAGACCCAGCCCAGTTCTGTAACCCAGGGCAGATGTGAGACCCAGCCAGAATCCCAGCCAGGGTCTGGAACACAGGTCATCTCTGAGATCCAGCCAGGCTGTAGAACCCAGTCTAGTCCTGGGGCACAGCCTGGCTCTGGAGCTCAGGGCGGCCCTGGAGCACAGTCGTGTTCTAGAACTCACCCTGAATCTCAAGTCCAGTCTGGCCCTAGAACCCAAGCCGGCTCTGAAGGCAGGCCTACTTCTAGAGCCAAGGGCAGTCCTGAAGACTGTACCAGACCACAGACCAAACCCAGACCTAGAACCCAGGGCAGCCCTCAGATCAAATTCCATTCTGAGACCAAGCCTGTGTCGAGAACACAAACAGGCTCTGAGGATGAGCTGTGTTCTAGAACTCAGACCCACTCAGATAGGAAACCCAGCTCTAGAGCCCAGCCAGCCCCTGATGCTGGAGCCCAGATCCCGGCTGCCCCTCAGCCACACTCCAGAACCCAGACAAAAGTTAAGACCCAGCTGGGCTCAGAGCAGGATCCCATTTCTGAATCCCAGCCAGGTTCTGAGACTCAGCCCAGCTATGAAACAGTCACCACCCCCATGACCCAGCCCTCTGGAGACATTAGGAGCAGCTCTGGAGGACCAGCTAGCTCGGGACTCCAGGCAAGGTCCACCAAGTCACTGGCTGAGAGACCCCAAGCCAGCTCCACTGGCCAGCAATCTCCCAGACCTCTGCCCCGAGCAGGCAGCCAGAGCCACACTGCCATGGGGTCCAGACTCAGACCCCAGCCCTGCTCCCTGGCCCTGCCCCCCAGTGCCTCCCAGTGTCCTGCACCCCAGGCTGGCTCCAGGGATGAATCTGATTCTGAGGCCCAGCCAGGGGATGGAAGGCAGTCTGCTGTGACAGCCAGGTCCCCCTCCCAAATACCCTCCACCTCAGAAGCCAGGTGCAGCAGCTCCAGGATGTCGCTGGCTGTCCAGCCCTCCTCATCCAGAAGGCATGCGGGTTCCAGGGCACAGTCCGACTCGGGGACCCAGACAGACTTCCACGCCTGGCCCAGCTCCAGAGCCCATGCAGGTTGGGCCAGCCACAGAGGGTCCCAGCCATGGCCACTGGCCAAGGAGCCCAGCTCCAGATTCGGCCCAGGCTCCCGTCAGCAGAACACAGGACTCAGCTCTGGAGCCCACTGGGCCTCCAGAACCCAGTTCGTACCTCAGGTCCCAGCACACGCTGCAGCACAAGCTGGCATTGCAGAGGCCCTAAGTGCTACAACCCAGCCAGGCCCCGGCCGCAGCAGTTCTGGAAGCCAGCCCAGCTGGGGAGTCTGTCTCCTCAGCTCTAGAGATGAAGGCTGCCCACAGACCCTGGGCCTCCAGCCTAAAACACAGCCTGTTCCCCTGGCCCGACCTCAGTCTCCAAGTCCACCAACCCCAAGAGCCTCCACCCCTGCTCCAAGCAAGGTTGCTGGGCCTCGGCCTCAAGATGGAAGCCAGGCCACAGCCTGCCCCAGGCCTCTTCCCCCAGCTGCCCCCCTGGGCCTCACCATTCCCCAGAAACCAGCCCTTTCTCCCAAGCCCCAGCTGGGATCCCAGGAGTCCACGGCCCCACCATGTGTCACGCCCCGCCCTTCCCCTGGTCCTGGTCCTCTCCCGCACCAGGGGTAGCTGGGCTAGGGCTATCTTCTGGGCTCTGATGACCTCATCCAGCAGGAGGACAAGATGGTGGACTGAGGCCTGGGCTCCAGGAGCCTGGCTGAGAGTAAGAGGATCTGACCACAGAAGGAATGGGGGTGGGGGGTGCCCTGGGGGTCTCGGTGGTGAATAAAGAGCCTGGTGTCCCCACAGCCATGAGTCTCACTTTGAGTGGTTTGCATGGAACGGTGGGGGGTTGTGTGAACGGATCCACGGGTGCTAAGCTGAGTGCCTGCTGTATACCTCAGACACTCCATTACTGGGCCATTGAACCATTTATTGAGCAAGGGTGTTGCAGCCGTGGGGGAGGGGCTCAGTAAACACTGGAGAGGTTGGTGACTCCAGACCTGACTGTGGGTATGGATGCCAAGGCTGATGACCCTGGAGCCCAGAGGAACCTGAAGCCGGTGTCTCAAACCCTGGTGTCTCAGGCTCTGGGTCTCAGCTGGTTCCCACAGCTCCCCCATGTGACCCAAGCACCCTGCCTGGGCTGGGGGGACTCTGGAGAGTCAGGCAGGACATCCTTAGCATCGAGGAGGCATCTTAGAGCTCACCAGAGTCAGCCCCGTGTCAGGGGCTCCCCTCCTCTGCCAAGCACTGGGCACCTAGGATGGGGTGCAGGCCTGCCGCAGTCCCTGAGGACCTGGGGGTTGGGCGACGCTGTTCTTCAGGGACCACTGGGTGTGGCTTGGGCTGGGGGCTGGCGCAAGGACAGAGCCCGGAACCGCGAGCTGAGCTGCGGGTGCAGGCGCCGCAGCACCGACCGGCGGAAGAGGATGTAGACCCAGGGGTCCAAGATCTGGTTCCACGTGGCTACGCGCAGGTAAATGAGCAGCTGGTGCTCCGTAGCCCGCAACAGCTGCCCAGAGGGGCTCATGACCGGGGGCGCCCGCAGCACGGTTTGTGCAATGAAGACCTGCGGGAGGGAGGAGTTGGGCTGTGTGACCTTGGGGGAGTGGGGCTCAGGCTTTGGTTCGTGTCCTAGCTGGACTGAGGTGGAGAAAGTAAACTTGGGGACCAAGGCAGCAATTTACCCTGAGCCTTCTCCCTGTGTTCTCCCTTTTAATAATGTTTCAAGACAGGTTTTCTCTGTGTAGCCCTGGCTGTCCCAGAACTTGCTCTGTAGACCAGGCTGGCCTCACACTGTCACAGAAATCCACCTGCCTCTGCCTCCCAGTGCTGGGATTAAAGGCTGCGCCACCATGTGTTACTTCTAGACAGAGTCTGGCCAAGTTTCCTGGGCTGGCCTGAGACTTAGGTCGGAGTGCCTGGGTCCCACACCTGCTCTCCAGGCCCAGGACTGGGTCTGCTTCGTGCTGGGGAAGCCTGTATACAGTGGCACATAATAAATATTTGCTGAAGGAATAAGGGGGAAGATGGCCTGTGCCCATATTAAAGCGGCCCTCCTCCCGGCTGCGCTCCATCCTCCAGGGGAGCACTCTGTACAGAGGTCCTGGGGCGCTGGGGACGTGGCAGACATCGAGTAGCCTAGCCGCGCTATCTAGAACGTGTTCCCCAGCACCCCTAACAGGGGACCCCTATTAGCCCTCGAAAGTCCTACTCCAGGACGCCCAAACCCAGAAACGTTTCCCTGACGCCTGCAGACCTGGAAGCCCCAAGGGTGTGACCCCGGGACACAGTGGAGCGTGAGCGGGTGTCCGCCGGTGGCCGGGCCGGGGCTGCGGAGTGGGGACTCACCAGCAGGGGCATCCAGCACGCGGTGGCCACCACCATGATGCCTACCAGCTGTACCATCATCTCCACCTCGCAGTCCCGCGGGCGCTGGCGCGCGGCCTCGCGGTCGTGGTAGACGCGGCAGAGGGTGACGACGCTCACGGTGTTGAGCAGGAGGGACAGACCGACGGACGCGCCGCCCAGGAGCGCGAACAGCAGGCCGAAGGCCACGTCGCCGCGCCGCGGCCCGAGCGTCAGGAAGCACCAGGAGCCCGGGTACTGCACGGTGTAGCGGCCGAGCCCCAGCAGCGGCAGCAGCCCCAGCGCCAGGGCCGCCAGCCACAGCAGCGCCACGGTGGCCCAGGCGCGGCGCCACGTGGCCGCCGGGCGCCAGAAGGGCCGCGTGATGCCCACGTAGCGCTCCGAGGCCATGGCGGCGCCCAGGAGCAGGGGGCAGAGCCCGAAGAACACCATGGCCGCCCCCATGAAGTGGCAGAGGCGGCAGCGGGGGTCGGCCGCCTGCCACGCGAAGAGCGCCGCGTGCTGCGCCACCACGATGGCCCCGGTGACCAGCAGCCCCAGGAAGTCGGTGAGCACCAGGCCACACAGCAGGGTGAGGAAGGACGAGCGGGGCGACGGGGCCCGCGCCAGCGCGCTCAGGGCCAGCAGGTTGGACCCCAGGCCCAGTATGCAGAAGGACGCGGCGAACCACGGCGACGCGATCATACTCCTCTCCTGCAGTGTGATGTTCATGGGCCGCAAGCAGGGCCCGGGGGAGCTGCCGTTGGGCCACATGGCGCCCAAGCCTGGTGCTACGAGGGGGTCACCACCCCATTGGGCGCAGGTGGCCAGCTGGCTGCAGCTCTCGCCTGCGGAGACAGGTGGCTGGTGGCGAACTCCTACGCGGCCTTCAGAGCCCCAGAACAAATACCCTCTCCTTGATCTAGCCTACCGTCTGATGTCTTCTGACCCGTGAAGTGGTCCAGAGCAGCCTGGAAATCTAAATCCTCCCGACTCAGCCTCCTGAGTAGCTGGAATGACAGAGGGGCAGCCCCGGGTTTGAGTTCTAGTGTGGCCTCAGTTTCCCTATCTGTCACCCCTCCATCGTTCTGGCCTGCTCACTGGAATGGCCCTCGCCGCTCCTCCCCTTCCCCTGCATCACTTTTATAATAAGAAACGAACCCAAAAGTTCGTGTTCCATTTTGGGAACAAGAAAAAAAAAGAAAAAGAAAAGAAAACCAGGGACACATCCCTGGGGATGGCTGCAGCCGGGAGGAGCAGGGGCGGCGGGGCCACCCCACAGAACTGAGGTTGCACGTGGTGTCTAGAGGTGAGGCTGCTCAACCACCGGGGAGCCTGAGGCAGGAGGACTGCTGTGAGTTTAAACTGCACAGAGAGGTAAACAAAAAAAGACCAGAGACCAGAGACAGGTAGGCATTTGCCTAATGTCACACAGTATTCTTGTGTAACCCAGGCTGGCAAGCAGCTCATGGGGATCCTCCTGCCTCACTCACATTTCTGGTGTGAACCATGTTTGGCCTCTGTTTCTTTTACACATTATTTGTTTACTCGTGCTGGTGTGCAAGGCACACTACAGCCCAGGGTGTGGCGGTCAGATCGAGTCTCACGGGAGTCAGCGCTCGCCTTTCGCCAAGCAGGTCTTGGGGATCAAACTCAAGGTCACTGAGATCCACCGAACGGCAACTCCAGCCCTTGGTGCGAACCCTCCCTCTCTCTCTCCCTCTCTCCCTCTCCCCCTCCCTCCCCGTCCCTCCCCCTCCCTCCCTGCCTCCCCCTTCCCCTCCCTCCCCCTCCCCCTCCCTCTTCCCCTCCTTCCCCCTCCCTCTCCCCCTCCCCACCCCGCCCCCACTGAGCTTTGGGTTTAACCTTTGGCCGTTCAGGGTTCAGGATGCACCCCTGCTCTTGTCCCCTCAGCTCAGCTTCCCGTCCTGTAAAGTCAGCTGATGCGGACAACAATGATCTATTCTGTCCATTCCTGGCACACAGTAGGTTTACGCAGCTCAGAAGGCTCCAGGCCACTACAAGCAGCTTTCCTGCCTCACTCCCACCTCAGCCTGGGGCCACCAACTGTTGGCACCATCCAGAGGAGAAACTGAGCCTCAGAGGGATGGGGCGGTCTTGAGGCGCCCCCTTGATGACGTCACCCTGCTCAGAGGCGCTGTGCACATGTTTGAGTTTCTGTGCTAGGTTCCTGGGACCCCAGCACGCCCCCCAGGCGGATTTGCAATGGGGGTACGCCCCCTTCCCCTTGGCCCAGCCTCAACACTGGGTCCCTCACAGCCGCTGTGGCCCTTTGCCCAGCTGGGGTCCTGCACCAGGGCTGCATGGCGGTTTCCAGTCTCCCTCCTCCCTCACCGCCTCCCCTGGGGTTCAGGTGATAATGGCAGGCTCAAGTTGCCCAGGCCAGACCAGAGGCAGGGCCTGGCAGTCCACAGTAGCCAGCAGCCAGGGCTGTGTGGTCCCAGGGAGACCTGTGCCTTGTCTACAGCCTCAGGGCAGGGAGCTCTGGGCCTGGGAGGTCCAGGGATTGAAAGTGTTTTTGTCTGTCTGTCATCTCTGACCAAGACTCTGGCTGCATAGACGGGGCTACACTGAAACTCGTCCATGAGATCCGTGCCTCCAGCCCCTGCTGGGACACCAGGCACAGCCATACCTGGGTTAGCATTCTAGAATTCTCCAGGCTCCCACCCTGACCCCAGAAGGCTTGAGGAGCTTAGAACCCTCCAGCCCCGAGTCCTGGGGTTAGGGCAGCTCTGCCTTCCTGAGCCATGTCCCTGCTTTGGGGGGGCAGCAGTGTTCTGTCTGCAGTGGGGGCCCCGTCCTTGTCACATGTGCACTCTGGGGCGCTGCTCCCCTGGTCCTTGGGGCCCGCAGCATTGGTGGCTGCATTCCAGCTTCCAGGAATGTGGGGCTGGGCTCTGAGCAGCAGGCCCCTCCTCCTCCTCTCAGCTCATCTGGAAAGCCTCCCTGCCAGGCCTCAGGGCAGCCTGGGCCCTCAGGCCTCCACCCCCACCAGCACCCTACACAGCCTCAGTTTCCCTCCCTTACAATGAGTTTGCATCCCCTAGTGCTTTCTGCTGACACCTGCCTGTCAGAGTGCTGGCCCCAGCTGTGCCCAGAGGCGACTCTGACCGCTGTCCACACCCCAGGCCCCTGGTGTGGACCCCCCACGGCCCCACAGCCCCTCAGGGCTCACCACCTGCTGCTCCTTCCCTTCTGCGGGGCCACTTCCTGTCTGTGCCACAGTCCCAGGATGCAGGTGTCATCTTTACTGATGTGCAGCCAGGCAGAGGCTCTGCCTGGGCCTCAGTTTCCTGGTGTGTTCAATGGACACCTCTCTTGGGGTAGGACGTGTGCCGTGGAGGTGAGGCCTGAGCTCTGAGCTGAGCCTATGCACGTACACGCACACACACACTCACACACACACCACACACACACACAGGCACACACACGCACACACACGCACGCACGTACACACAGGCACATGCACACATGTATACACACACATACACATAGACATACATGAATACATGTACACACATATACACACAACACACATGCCCACACACTCGCACACACATGTACACACACACACATACACACACACACATCAAGTCACATGCCCACAGCCCCCAGTCCCATCTCTGCCTGAGCATTTGGACCGGCCTGGCCCAGACACAGGAATACCCATGTGCAACCAAGGGAACTACACTTGTCCAGGCTAGACCACCGGAATAAAGGCCACACCCTGGAATTCTTTTCCGGGAACTTGGAGACCTGGTCACTGTCACCATTGGGGGGATGGATGTGGCCACAGCAGGGTGGTCGAGGAGTCTGGGCCCCCCAGGCACCATGCAGAGCACGGGCCACCTGAGGAGTCAGTGTGACATCTCACGGGGGGGGAGACTCACCCGAGGGTCAGAACGGGGTGTCGCTTGGTGTCCCAGGAGCCGAGCACACAGCACTGCTGGGCTTTCCCAGGCCAGGCCGAGAGAGCAGGGCGCCAAGACCCCTGGGGAGACCGAGGCCCCAGCAGCCGCCCTGGGGCTGTGGGTAGCGCTGGGGACCCCCAGGGGCACGGGGCTGGGGGATGTGACAGTGAGGCTGCCTCCCGCCCCGCCCTGTCTCCATCTGTCTTTCTGCCTGTCGGTCTCTCGCCAGCCCCGCCCCCTGCGCTGGCCTCGCCCCTTAGCCGGGTGCCTGGCTGGGGTGGGAACCCGGCGGGGCACAGGGGTGACACAGACATCGGTTGCTGACAGGCCGGCGACCCGGAGGCCAGGCCCACGTGGGAAGAGATGCGCGGCCAGATGGGGCTGGTCCTGGCACGGCAGCCACGGACGAGGTGTCCAGGCCGCACCGCGGGGGCCACAGGGCTGGGGTGGGCGGGGAGGGAGGCCAGGCCTGGGGACCCCTCCCCGAGCCCTGCTGCAGGAACCCCGGGCTGGGGCAGGGAAGACCTGTGAGCTGTGGCCCGGGAGGCGGCCTCGGTTCGCACACTCCAACAGGATGGGTCCTTGAGGGGAGCAGGATGCCCGGCCTGGCCGTGACCCCAACCCGCCCAGTTCCAGTCTGTCCAGGGTCAACCAGACTCCTGTCAGCAGCCGGAAGCCCCTTCCCTGCTGCCCCGCCCCGCCCCCTTCCGGTCTCACTCCTGGCGGCCTTCCCTCCGGTGCCCATCCCCTTATTCAGCCCTGAACCCTAACTTGCCTCTTCCCCGGGAGGCGCCGGCTTTCTGGGGCTCTCCTAGCTGACCGCCTCCATCCCTGGCCTCGATGGCCAGGGCTGCTGAGACAAAGCCTCCCTTCCTGCCTCCCTTCCAGAGTTGGGCTAGGAGTCCGTGCTGTGGCAAGGGTCTGAGGGCCGGGGTTTGTGGGGTGAATCGGCATCGCCCTGGTCTGGCACAAGGTGCTGGTGGGGTGTCTGGTGGTGGGAAGAGGCTCCTGAAGGGGTGAGGGCAGGGCTGAGGGTGGTGGTCGGGGACAGGGCTGGCTGTGGCCATCTGTCCCTCTGGACGTGTCCAGTCTAGGGCCAGACGATGTCAACACACATCCAGCTGTTTGTGTCACAGAGCTGGCAGAGCTCAGCATGCATGGGGAAACTGAGGCACACGAGGTCTGCTGCAGGCAGGAGCAGCTGGGTGGATGCGGGAGCCGCGGGCTCAGGATGTGCCTCCTGTGGCTGTGGCTTCCGCTGAGGCTGGGGGCGCTATTCTTAGCTCTGGACACAGGCAAAGGAAGGAAAAGGCTGCATGGGACACGAGGGCACCCTGGGGACGATCTGCATCCTTGCCAGGCTCACTCACCCTGTGTGGCTCCCCGGTGCCCCCGGGTCTGGGCTGGACTCCTGCCAAGTGTCTTCTGCAGGAAGGACCTGCTCTCGCGCCCTGGGCACCCCAGGCTCTTTGGGACCCCCTACATCCCCGTCTCCCAAGGCCAGGACCCTGCTGGGGCTACACATAGCCAAGGACCAGCAGGACAGAGGTCGCACGGGGTGGGTGGGAGGGAATGGACCCCTTCTGGCCAGGTAGAGAAACTGAGGCCCAACATGCATCCAAGTAACCCTCAAGCTCCAATGCCCCTGGCCCTGCGTGGGACCTTCGGGGACCGAGTGTCCTCTGGGAGAGGCTGCCTGGAGGACCTCGAGACCTCGGCTGTCACAGCTCCAGGGGGTGGCAGGGCCGAGTGCTGCTGCCCTGCGTGGCTGGTTTGGACAGACTCCTGTCCTGCTGATTCCCAGGCCCCAGTCAGAGGCCACTGGGCCAGGGCTGGGGTGGTGCTGGCGGCAGATCTGGGGTGCAGAGCAGCACCTCTAGCCTCCACGGGGTAAACCAGGACCCGAGTGGAGAAAGTTGCACATCCCAGGCCGCGGTGGTCCTGGGCTCAGGTGGGCAGAGCAGACCCCGTCCTGACCCCTCCCAGAGCCACTCGGGTGTGGTGTCTGTGCTGTGGCCTCAGAGTCATGACTCAGACACGAAACAATTCTAGAATAAGCTTTCTATTAAGCGTATCAAAACCACATGGCGTCCCGTAAGAACAAGTCTGTGGAAACAAGATACCCCTCCCGCCGAAAGCAGTCCTTTCAGAGAAACAGCTGCAACCCTTTCCAGATGCGCTGGGATCCCAGGGGGCCGTGGTTCCTGCCGCTGAGGAAGGTGCCCCATCCCTCGGGGTCCCCTCAGACCCGCCCGCCGGGAGCTGTCCTGGTCCTGGGCCAGCCCTGAAGGGCCAGCGTCACCGGCGGTAGCGGTAGCGCTTGAAGTGGAACCACAGCTGGAAGATGCCGTTGGCGAACTGGCAGCGGAAGCCGTGGCGGTGCGAGTACTCCCACTCGCGGCTGACGATCTTGAAGGCGATGTCCTCGTAGGGCGGCCCGGCGTGGAAGCGCAGGATGGCGAAGTCGCGGTTGTCGGCGCAGGCTTCCAGGAAGTACTCGGGCGTGGCGCGCTTGCGGATGAGGTCGGGGTAGAAGATGTTGAACTTGTAGCCCTGCACGATCTTGGGCGGCGGGTTGTCGAAGTCGTAGTGCGTCTGGTTGTACTTGTTCCACTCGAAGCCGGTGTGCACGCGGTTGAAGAAGCGCGGCTTGCGCGGCCGGTACTTGTCGGCCCACAGGTAGGCGCGGCCGCCCAGCGGCATCTCCACGCTGAACTGCGCCTCGTCCTGCCCCATGCCCTCGCGCGCGCGCCGGAAGAAGATGTCCTCGGCGCTCTCGCTCGCATCGCCTGCGGGGGGAGGGGATCAGCTGCGGGGCTCCCACGCCCCTCCTGCCCCCGCCCCTCCTAGTCCCGCCCCCACCTGTGGCCTGGAGCTGCTGGCGCGACAACTGCAGGCGCTGCAGGTCCTCGTGCGGCTCCAGCACGTGCGCGTCCAGGGGCAGCTCGTGCGCCGTGAGCAGCCGCGGGCTGTAGCGGCCGGCGTCATAGTCCGCCAGGCTCTGCTGGATCAGATCCTCCTCCATCAGCACCGCCTCGCCGTCCGCCTCCGCCTCCGCCTCCGCGGCTGCCGGGGCGCCCTCAGCCTCCGCAGCGGGGTCCGCCGAGGGCCCGGGGCTGCATGGCGCAGGCTCTTCAGGCTCGGGGCTGCGCGGGACAGTGGAGGAAGGGGTGAGGCCCAGGGGTAGGGCGCGGGCCGTCCCTGCCAGGCCTACAGCGGTGTCCACCCTGCTGCCAGGTCCCCCGGCGGGCGGCCCTCACCTGTGCGTGGCCGCGGGCTCGGACTTGAGGATGGGGAAGAGCGGCTCACTCTCCACGCCCTGCTCCTGCTTCAGTTTGAACAGCTTCTGCCGCAGGACGTCCTGGTGGCGCTCACGCAGCCTGCAGGACAGGACGGGTCACCATCCAAGTTCCCAAGCCTGGCCCTCCGGGGGACCTGGCCCACTCAGACTGGGGACATCGGAGTAACCAAGACAAACGCAGTCCCGTGTCCACACCACGGTGCTGACGCTGGAATCCATACACGTTCTCAAGCTGGCCAGGGAGCGGGCGGAGAGGGGGCAGGGGAAACGGGGAAGGGCAGGGAGGGGATGGACAGACAGAGGGGACAGGCTCCCGGTTTCTCATGATGCTGGTGACCAGTGGAAAGCCTGGTGGTCAGAGGCCGGGGAGGGCCTAGGGGCTGGGCCGCGGGCGGAGCCTCACCTGGCCCTGGCCATGTGTGCGCGCAGCAGCTGCAGCAGGCTCTCCCAGTAGCCCATGTCCAGGTTGGGGCCGCCTGCGCGGATTTTGCCCTCGATGCCCTGGAAGATGACCTGCAGCTGGCTGTATGTCTTCCCCTTGAACACCGACTGCACATCGGAGCTGACAGAGGCGTTGACGCCCTCACGGCGCTCACCTGCACACAGGGGGTTCAGAGTGGGCCCCAGTTCCCTCCTGCCGCACCCTGCCGGGCGAGGGGTGGCAGGAGCTCAGAGCCTCAGGCCGCTCACCTGGGCCCCTGCCCGAGGCCTCCAGCTTGCGAAGCTTGGCGATCTCGTCCTCTGTGACGGTGGTCATGTCCCGCCAGAAGTCCACGTTCTTGCCCTGCTCCAGCTCCATGTACACCTGTGGGGGGAGAGGGGCGGTGAGGCAGTGCAGGCAGACCGCCGGGCACAGCTGCAGGCTGAGGTACGGGTGGCACCTGGATGTCCTCCAGCAGGTCTTCCATGTCTGCCACCGTGAGGCCGTTGAGGAAGGTGTAGGGCTCGTGCATCTCCACGGCCAGGTCGTCGTCCTCCGCGCTGATGTATTTGGCCAGCAGGTCGATGGGCTTAGCCCGCCCATCTCGGATGCGGATCTTGGAGCTGTGGGGAGACGGTGGTGGGGTCAGGGCCAGCGCTCAGCATGACCGAAGCTGAGCCCAGGGCCCCCCGGGGCCCCAGCCAGGCAGGGTGGGACGGCAGGGCGATGCTGGGGTCCCCAACACACGTGACCAGGCCTGCACTCAGCCGCCTTCCCTGCGGCCTCAGGATCCTGGTGTCTTAGTAGGCCCGCTAAATCCTGCAGTGAGTGAGTCTGCGCCCACTGGCAGAACCGGGGGCGGGGCCACGCACCGCAGCTTGGCCTGGCGCAGGTGGAAGCTGTCCTCCTGCTCCTCCCAGGTCTTGAAGTGCTCCGCCTCCTTCTCGCGCTGCAGCAGCTCCAGCTCCTGCTCGCGCATGGCCTTCTCCCGCTCCCGCTCCAGCCGCAGCTGCTTCACCTGGGCAGCACAGGGGGGGGAGTCACCACCGGGAGAGGCCCGCGGCCTCCACCAGCCGTGGGAGCCCCAGGCCCCGCCCACCTTCTGGAGCTCCAGCCGGTTGTCCTCCTGGATCCTCTTGTTGCGCTCCTTCAGCTCCTTCTCCTCCAGGTGGCTGATGCCCTTCTTCTCCAGCGCCTGCGCAGGCAGCCACACCCACTCAGCGCCCACAGTGCCCCACCCCGCTGGCAGGGGAAGGGACTGGACTCAGACCGGCGCCGCCAGGGACCCCATGGTAGGAAGCGGCCTGGCTGGGGCGAGCTCCCCCCCAGCTCTGTGCATCCCTCCAGCCCCGCGGTAACCGTGTGCGTTCTGAGGCCTCAAAGGGGCCAGGAGCCTCGGGGCCGCCAGGTGGCTGGCAGCACGAGACACAAGCTGAGAGACGGTGGGGCCTAGGCTGCAGGGTCAGCACGGCCTCCCTGACGGGCTGGGAGCCCGGGAACCCTGGGACACCGCAGCACCCGGCTGCTCTGGGGCGGCACCTACCTTGTTCCAGATGAAGGTGCCCAGGAGGTTGTTGTCCCCAAAGGGGTTGTCGGTGTTGGTGTACCCCATGTACTCCTCGCCCCAGCCCATCTTCTCCCGCTTCCTGCGCTCCTTGGCTTCCTTCTTGGCCAGGCGCCGCGCGCGCTTCTCCTCAGGCGTCTCGAAGGCCTTGAGCAGCTCTTCCTGCTGCCTCCGCTCCTCGCGAAGTCGCAGCCGCTCCTGCAGGCTCTGCTGCTGGCTCAGGGCCAGGGCAGTCGTCCCAGGGCTCCGAGAGCGTCTTGGGGATTCTGAGCCAGATGCCGATGACCCAGGGGACCAGGAGCGCCGGTGAGTCTGCCGGACCCAGGAGCCCCGTGCCCGCTCCTCACCCGAGTCAGACCGTGAGGACTGGTCCTGTGAGTGCCATCGGGGCGGCCGAGGGCTCCGGCTGCGCCTCGCAGACCTCTGCTTCCGGTCTCCTTCTGAATCTGACCTGCAGAGAGGACATACGGAGGCCAGCTGTCAGGGTCGCAAAGACAACGTTGGGAGAGCACACGCCTTTACAGTCCCAGCAACCTGCAAGTCACACCGGTCCCCACGTAAACTAGGTCATCCTACACAGTGCAACCGCACAAGCCTCAGGCCCAAGACAGACGCTTCGAGGGAGCGCTGAGGGTGAGCTGTGCGTCTTTACGTTTCCCAGCCTCGGCTGTCCTAAGCCCTGCTCCCTACACCCGCCTGACCCCCAGCTCACGCAGAGTCCGCCTGTGCTGAGATTAAATGCGGGTGCCGCCTCTGAGCGGGCCGGGGTGGGGGTTCTTAGAGGAGTCAGGTGTCGGCCAGAGGAAATGGGGGGAGAAAGCTGGGCCAGATGGACAGCAAGAACAGCGTGATCAAAGCCCTGGGCAGGGACAGACCCGGGAGCCAGCGGGGTGGGGACACGCGGAGCTGACCGCCGCCAGCACCCAGGGTGGGCACGCAAGGTGGGGTGTTTGTCAGCCCTACGAGCTAAGAGGGAGGCAGAGGTTGTTCTCCTTTTACATGGGATCTTTACGTTGCTCTGTCTAATGGGATCTCCTCCCTCTACAGCCCAGACTGGCCACCAACGTCCAGAAGCGCCCTGTGTGTCTCCTAGGCGCTGGGTCACCGGTGTGTACCGTACCATCAAGTCCTGCTGAGATGACGGGTCGTAGGGATGAGGCCCAGTGCATGGATTCTCTGATATCCCGGGAACCATGAAAGAGGAAAACGCACCACCAGGTAATATTTGGAGGACACGCGTTCAAAACCCCAGCACCCGCAACAAAAGTTGGGCGCGGCCGTTGAGAGCCTGTAACCCGGTGTCGTGCGGCGGTGTCGGGCTGCTCTCCTGACAACTTGCGGCACTGAACTAAACTACGGGGGGCTCCGGGTCCCCTGGGGCGGGGCGGGGCGGGGCAGGGTTCCTCACTGTGGCACTGGCTGGCCTCGAGCTCACAGATCCATCCCCCGGCCGCAGCCCCCGCGCCGGCTCTCCCGCCCCCCCCCGCCGCCCGGGACGCTCACCCGCGCTCCCGGCTGCGCCGCCTGCGCTCGCGCCGCCCCTCGCGCTCGCGGCGCCGCCGGCTGCTGCGCCCATGGCTCCCGCTGCGGCTGCGGCTCCGCCGCCTCCGACTCCTGCGCCCGGGGGACCGCGAGCGCGACCGGGTGTCGCGACCCATTTGTCGGTACGCGCGGCGCACGCGCGGACGTAAACAACCGGGGGGGGGCTTGGCGCCGGGGGCCTTCCTTCGCCGCGGCGCGCTCGGGGCTGCCCAAAGTGCGCCTTGTCCCGGAGAGAAACTAAATCCCTGTGCCCCGGACTCCGGGGACGCCACAGCCCGCGGCATCTCTGGGGTTCTCAAGTTGGACTCGCATGACGGACTCCGACCAGGTCGCCGTCAGACTGAGCGGAGCCAATCTCCATTCAGGCAGTGAGAGAGACTGACTCGGGCGGGTCCTCGCGCCCTAGGGGGCCTGGGAAATCAGGGCGGAGCGCGCCGGGGCTCGAGGAGGCGGTTACAGGGCGGAAAAGGCAGCGCGGTGGGCGGGGCCGAGGAAATCGGGCCCTGCGTGGGCGGGGCTGGGGAGTGAGAACGAATAAGAGGTTAGAGCCTGGTGGGCGGGGCTCACGGAGATTGACAGTCGTGCTTCTTGGAACCCCGGCTGGCGAGGGCGGGACATGAGGCCTAGCGGGGCGGGTCCTGGGAAGGACCCGAAGAGTGGCGGGTGTAGGAGCGGGGATGGGCGGGGTCTGGAAGGCTGGAGTGACAGGCGTAGATAGTGGGCGGGACGGACCAGGCAGGACCCGAGAGGGCCGGAGAGCGGAGGCGGAGCCGAAGCCGAGGCCAGATTGACAGCCGTGGATTTCAGGGCTCGTCCGGCTGCCAGCAAAGGGCGGGAACAGGAGCTGCGTTGCGCAGAGTTTAGGAGCGGGAAGACGCGGAGCCTTGATGGATGGGGCCTAGGACTCCAGACAGACAGATGCGGAGCCGAGGGCAGGACAAGGAACCCAGAAACTGCGGTTGGGGCGGTGCTCCGCCCGGAAGGAGGACCCGGAGGGCGTGGCTAAATCGGGTGGGGCCTGTGTTAGTCTCAAAACTGAAATCCCGAAGCTCGGGGGCCCCACGGAGGCCTTTGGGTTCGAAGCCGACTCGGGAACGTGGCGGGCTCGCGCCAATAAAACCCAGCTCTGCAGGACGAGATTGTTCGCGGACTTCCAGATACCGGTCTGGGGCTTATTCTCGGTCACTACGTGCCCGAGCTGTAGATAATCGATAGGGAAACTGAGGCTTGAGGAAGGGAAGTCGTCTGGATGCTCGCCCTGTTTCCAGTTGGGACGCATTGCTTGGGAGCCCAACAGCCCCGGGAGGGTTTGGAGCGGGGAGTCGAGCCTCGTGCTGTCCACCCACAGGCACCGAGTGCATCACACCCAACCCCAGACTGCGGCTCACGCTGAAGGCATCAGAAGCGAGCTGTTTAATACCCGATTTATTAGAGATTTTAACTGAAAAATAAGGGCTGTTGTGGGAACCTGGGCTGCGTACAGAGCACTGCAGGGACAGGGCCCCCTGGCTGGCTGGTGCAGAGGGACACCATGCTTGGATTGTCACACACCAGACCGCAGGGGCTGAGGACCCGGGACTCCCTCGCCCTGATGAGTAAGACACACGAGGTTTTGAACTTTTCCGAATGGATTCAGCAATAAAAACAGAACTGGGGTGAAGGTGTGCGATGCGATTTTAACCACCGGAGAGGAGGTGGGGACGGAGGACTGCGGAGACAGTACCATGCCAAGGGACCCCACGGGGAGGGCATATTGCACTGAGGTTGCTGTGGGGCTGAACAGGGGACTCGCTGGGATGGCCAGGGCAGGACAGAGCGGACCGGGGACACCTCAGGCTTGGAGGTGCCTCTGACCCTTACAGTACAGTTCACACCGTCCACGGTGGGGCGATAGCGGCCGTTGGAGAGAACAGGGTGGGGGTACAGGATGGGGAATCACAAATATTTACAGATTCTTTTTTGAGAGGGTCTCTTGTAGCCCAGGCTGGCTTCCGACTGGATATCTAGACAAGTATGACCTTGACCTCCTCCTGTCTCCACCTTCCAACCGCTGGAATGACAGATGTTTCACCCCATCTGGCTTGTGAGTGCTAGGATGGAAGCCGGCGCTCAGGCTGCTGGGTGAGCTTTACCCACCCAACAGTAGCGCTAGCTCTGCGATTTTTTCCTTTACAGAGATTCACTCTGTAGCTCAGCCTAACCTGGAACTTGCCCGAGTCCTCCTGCTTTAAAGTGTTGGGATGACACACGACACAGTGCCTTCCTGGAGGGGTCTATGCAAGACTGAACACTGACTCTGCAGCCCCTGAATCAACTCGGTCAGCAGCTCAGCACACGGGGTCACTTGCCAGCCCCCAAACAGACAAGGCAGACCTCTGCAGGGGGCTCTGAGACTTAACACAAACAGGGCCTGTGGTGAGGTCTGGGGCAGGCATCTGTCAACACACCAGCTAGGGTCTGCTCCCAGTCATGCCCCTGGTCCCATGATGTTAACGGGAGCCTGCAGGAAGGGCTTCATCATGGCCCTCACTGCCTCTGCAGCCTGCTGTGGCCCCTGTAAGTCCCTGAAGATGCAACCCAGGGGCCCATGGGGCTGACCCGAAGGCTGTGTACCGGGAGTGCAGCCTGGCTTTCAGGCTGCACTTGTCGAGAACACCGAGGGTAGACAGGGACACGATGGGACTGTACCCAACACACTCCTTCCCAGGAGTCCCACACGGGTGGGGAGGAGTCTGCCCAGCGGAAGGGACAGCTCCCTCTCCCCAGAGTCCCAGTGCGGTTGGCTCTGGCGGTTCATCTTCAGCTAGGGTGTTTGAGGGCCCAGCTGTCACTCTGCAGCCTGGAGCCTGGCCTCACTCTTCTCCAGCAGGGTCTGCTCTGAAGGGGAGTTCCCTGGACGTGGCGAGAAACCACGGCTCCAACTCAGGGCTTCCCAGGCATGGGAGGCAGACTGGATGGCTGCTCCGTCTGCGCCAGGTGTGATTGTAACCGCAGGACACACGTGCTTGGGGACATCCTTCTGGTGGTGGTAAGAAGATGCAGAAAGTACACAGGGCACGGCTATTCCTGGCAGTCTGCTTGGGTCCCAAACCTGAGGTGACGGAGGGGCTCTGCTGAGGCAGCGACAGGGGCCTCATCCAACTCAGGAGCACAGATCTGGATGGCACGTGGAGGCTCCAGGGCATGTCCCCTCTGCAGGCCGCCATGAGAGAGGCCTGCAGAGAGTGGGCTGCTGGGCAGGTCCCCAAAGTAGGAGGACATGTAGACCCTGATCCGTCAGGGCCAGTGGCGGCAGCCTCATCCTGGGTTTTCTGTGTCTTTGTCTTTGTCCTAAAAAATCACTCCTGTGCTCCCTCTCCGTGCAAAAAAGGACCCAAAATAAATACAGGATCGGGCACTCCGAATGCTGCCGGCCCAACAGGCATGGGTAGCGGCAGATGGTGGCCCAAGCGATCCTGGGGACAGGCCTGGCCGGTGGCATCCGTCGATGGGGAGGGAGAGGATGAGGTCGGGCCAGGGCCTTTGGGGTGATGTTACTGAGCTCTGGGCCCCAGTGAGGGGCATCGCCTCCAGGAGGTTACTGGGGTGGCAGGACACTGGGCTCCAGATTGGGGACTGCATAGAAGTTACTGCAAAGAACAGAGGGGCAGGTGAGGGAGGGCAGTGCCCCGATGCAACCCCAGCCGCCCGCGAAGCCTCCAGGTGCAGCCTCTGGGCTGCAAATGTGGGTGGCATGGTTTCCCTGAGCCATCTGGCTGGCACACCTGGAGAAGCCTGTGCCTAGAGCAGGGGGGTAGGAGTCGAAGCAAGAAGAGCCAGAATTGAGGAGTCAAGGGGAGGAGGGGCTGGAGAAAGGGGCGGGGCCGCCAGGGGAGGGGGAGGAACTCCGGCCTGTCCTCCCACCCTGCCTGGGGACTTACGGTGTCGCTCTCGCCGTCGGAGGCGGGCCGCGTGCTATAGTGAAGCGGGGAGTACACCCAGCTCCTCTCGTCGGTGGGCTGCGCAGCGCGTGCGGGAGGGGTGCAGAAGAGCAGGGGGCGAGGAGCAGACAGGCAGAAGGAAGAGACAGAGAGTAAAAGAGGGGGACCCCAACCCTGGGGAGCAGCTGCAACCCCGGTTCCCTCGAAGAGGGGCACCTGTCCCCCAACCCTTGGCCCTGGGGAAGCAGCGGTGGCAGCAGAAGCCGTTAGTGAAGCCGGGGAGCAGGCGGGATGGGGGACGGGGTCTCCTCCTCTCCGTGTGTACCCCATCTGTCGCCCGCTCTGGTCAGACCCCTGGTCGCTGGGTACCGCACAGGCTCGGCCGAGCACTGTGGGTTCAGGGACAGGACATGGCCACGGCACCAACTCCACTGAAGCTGAGCGAGCCTCGGGGCTCCGCGGGACCAGAGCCGCAGCCAGCCTGGGCTGCCACCCCTCCTGTTGCTGGGCTGCCTTCCAAGGGGAAAGCAGAAGTCCTGGGTGGGACCAGTGACACAGACTAGAAGCAAGGGGCCACAGCCATGTGGCCCTGTCCCCGGGAGTGGTGTCCCAGCACAGGAGGGCCTCAGGCAGCAAGGCTGGTGGATAAAGGCTGCGGGCGGGCGTCCACCAGACCTCCCTGCTGTGCACCCTCTAGCAGTCCCTGGATCAACCAAATCCTCAAACTTCCTGTCTCCACCTCTCTACCCTGGGGTGACAGGTGTGTCACGGCTGAGCTCTGTTTGTACTCTGCCAATGCTGTGCATCTCTGGGCATGTCACTCAGCCAATCTGGGCCTGGCACTCATTGTTGATAATGGGGACAGCGGGCTAGCTACAAGGTCCATGCTGTAGCCCAGTCACGTGCCAGGAGCTGACCTAGTTGTGGCAGGGGAATATGAGGCCGTGGATGCCTTATGGCCTGAGCCTCGGTTTCTCCTGTATGCTACAGAGGGAGCGGCAGGACCAAGATGGCTAGAAGCATCTAGCCTGGTGAGACAGGTGGGCGGGGTCTTTCGGACCCCACTACAGACACAGGGACAGCTGCTGTGGCCGCGTCTGGCCCCGGTGCGTCCAGTCAGGTTGGGGCTCAGCTGACCTCCACTAGGCTGTGATTTTCCACAGTCATTTGAGGAGAGATGGGGTGTGGGGTGCTGTGTTCCGGGAGCCCATCTCCGCGTGTGACGGTCTGAGGTCACTTACAGTGCCTGTGAGGCTCGGTGTCGCGGCCCGCAGTTGGTGACGACGGGGAGAGAAAAGCCAGTATCTCCCGTGTGCGAACTGGCCACACCGCGGGCCGGGCGGGAGGAAGGAAGAGAGGAGAGGGCAGAGGATGAGGCGGGAACCAGGCAGGGACAGGCGGGTGGCCGAGCAGGGTGGGCGCAAGCGACCGAAGCTGGATGTGTATGCGGGGCGCGGGGCGGGGCTGAGGGCCCCAGTAGGCCAGAGCCTCATCCAGGGAGCAGCTCTGGGCGCTGCTGGGCCAAAACCAGCAGACGGGCACCCTCAGCCCAGCACGGATGGGGTGACCGCAGGTGGGGTGCGGGCCTCAGTGGATAAGTTAGCTGGGATGCAGTGAGGGCCTCAGGTAGGTGTGGGGACAAGAGGTGACACTGGATTAGGCCCAGCTGACCCCAAGGGCTGCTGTGGCCCTGACCTCTTTATAGGGGAGACCCGTACTGGGCCCGCAGCGCCGGTAATATTTCTCCCTAGGGTGGAATGACTCAGCCTTGTCCACGAGGAGCCAAGCCCCCCCCACAGAGCAGACAGCATGGGGCCTGTCACTCACTGGGGCCCCAGGCCCCACCATCACGAACAGAACCTACCCCCAGAAGGATGAGGAATTCCCATGGGTCCCCAGCTTGCCTAAGACACAGGGCCTCGTCTCTGCTCAGGTCTCCCCACAGCCAGGAAGGCGCAGCGCCCCTGCCACCCAGGGCAATGACACGAGACAGAAGCAGGTGTGACCGTCCACAGGCGCCTTGGGGGCTGGGAGGCTTAGGGGAACTTACAAAATAGATGTCTGTGGAAGGGGCGTCCTCCTCATCCGAGGCCTGGCTGGCCGGCTCTGAGGCCTGGCTGGCAGAGTCTACTTCCACAGTGGCTGCAGCCGACGCCCCCGACAGGGGGACCTCCACTCTGGGGACACAGGACAGTGATGGGGTCCTAGATGGTTCCTTGCACAGCCCGCTCTCCCAACACTAACTGGGTCTACCAGCTCCCTCTCCATCTCGGGGAACACTACTACTTTGGTTTTGGGTCTAGCCTGTAGCCATCTGAGCTGCCCAGTTTTGTCAACAAGACACAAGTAGAGTCGTCCTTGAAGAGGGACCATGAATGAGGAAAATGCCTTGTCTGCAAGTCTGTGGGGTATTTTCTTTCTTTTATTGACTTATATATTTATTTTAAGACAGTCTTTCTACCCAGCCCAGCTGTCCTGGAACCTGCTCTGTAGAGCAGGCAGGCCTGGAACTCTGAGATCCTCCTGTGTCTAAAGCTGTTCTTGGGGGCATTTTCTTGATTTATTTCTGTGGGAAAGGGATGTAGGAAAGCAGGCCGAGGTTCCCAGGTAGCAGTGTGAGCTGAGGTGAGCCCTGTCCTCTCAGGCAGCTTCTATCCATGGTGGCCATCACAGTGACAGAAGCCCTAACCAAGACACCACCCTGCCTCAGCCCCCCTGCTGGGTGACAAGGTGTGCATACACTTCCGTCACAAACAGCCTGGTGACCCCTCTGTCTGATGAGCAGCCAGGCCTGAGCGGGCCATCTTCCGTGGCAACGGTGATAAGCCACACATGTCCCTAGGTACAGCCTGGCCTGGTGAAAACCCAGGTAAAGTCACCTTCCCTGAACAGGGAAGGCACTCACCCTGCACCCTGCTCCTTGGGGACCACGATCCCCACGTCACACACTGGCTCCACCTGTACTGTGATCTTCTGCAGGTCCTCCGCGTGGGGCTCCTCCCGGGACCTGCAGGGCATGGCCCAGCCTCAGTTTCCTCCCTGGCCCCAGAGCTGCCTGTAATTCCTGGTCCCGGGGTCCTAGCCTGGGGCTCTGAGGGAGCAGGCACAGCCTGGGTCCTGCTGTGCATGGGGGATGGGTTATTCACAGCACAAGAGGTGGCCAGCGGCCTCCACGCTGGGGAGCTGGGTCCTGCTGGGTGTCTGGACCTGAGATGCAGGAGGGTCGGAAGGTTCTGGAAGCCGGCCAGGCCTGCTGTGTCTGTGGGGTGAAGCCTGGAGCTCAATGCCAAACGCTGCTGCCCTTGAAGGTGGATGGGGACACGGGGAAAGAGGGGGCTCACCGGCCATCCTGGCCTGAAGACTGCGTGCGCCGCCTGTGGGGAGGCACAGAGGGGTGTGTGCCGGCTGTCAGGGCTGTGCTGACACAGGGCTGTGCCCGCCTGCTCCCGCGCCTGCTCCCGCCCCACCCACCTGTACCGGGGCTGCTCTGACGTCTCGGAAGGGGAGCGCTCTGGGATGGAGAGGGAGGTGGAGGACAGGGTGGTGGCAATGGAGGCTGTGGTGGCTTCTTCAAAGGACGGCGGGGTGCAGGGCAGGAGGTCGGGCCGGCCTGCAGGGAGCAGCGAGCCTTAGCGACCTCAGGAGCTGGCCTTCTCACCCGCCTCCCAGATTCTCCCATCAGCCACCTGTCCACAGGAGCCCTGCTGCCCTCCCCACCACCTCACGCTGCCCCAGGGCGCCCCAGGGTCTTCGCACAATGTCATCCCCGGCCCACGTGTCCAGGTCCCTTCAAGGTCTGGTTTCCTGGGTGCCCAGACCCCAGGCAGGCAGGTCACCTTCATCTTCCAGCGTGGGGTAGCTGCGGGCCCCTCGAAGGTCATACTGTGCGTCTTCTCTCTCACTGGGGATCTGGCTCGCTGAGAAAGCGGCTGTGGGCCCCAGGGGTTTGACAGCCAACAGGGCGCCACGCCCTTTCTTGGACGGAGAGGACTTCAGGGCTGCAGGGGGAGGAGGCAGGGGCTCGGTGGGTGCTGTGGTAGCCTCAGATCCCATGCTGCCTGGAGGGGACGTCTCCCCTCACGGTGGGCCCGCCCCCAGACACCTTGCTGTCAGGTGGGACTGCCAGGCTGCCCCCAAACCCAGGTGGGGACTCTCTGGCCCTGCGTCCCCTCCCACAGCGGCCGCTCACAGGAGCTCTTCCGGAAGACCGTGCTACTCATGAACTTGAAGAAGCGCTCCGCATAGAAGCTGGGCCGGTGGACTGAGACAGTGTCCTAGGAAGGCACAGAGGGGTAGGGACGGGTCACCAGAGCATATGCCCACCAGCATTTTATTTGCAGACACAGGGTCACTATGCAGCCCGAGCTGACCTCTAACCCCTGGGGGCTCCCACCTGCACCCTCTGACGGCCCTTAGCGGGCCTCCTCTCCTGGAGCCTGGAATCCACAGGCTCTTGAATACACGTAGGGGTCAGAGGCAGGGGCTGGGGGAGCGAGGCCCCAGCAGTTTGTCACATAAAGAAACCCTTCCATCACTCCCTTGGAAACCAGCCCAAAGCCCAGCTGTCCCAGCTGTGGGACACCTGTATGTCCCCTGCCCCTCTTGGCCTGGGCAGTCTGAGCTGCTCGGTGGTGGGCAGGTACACGCAGTGAATGAATGAATGAACAAATGAGTGAATGCAAATGACCTCACCCCATCGTGGACGAGGGCCTTCCAGGTATGTTCTAGCTTCTTGATGAACCTGGGGGCAGACAGAAGCACCCAGAAGGTCAGCCCACTGATCCAGCACGGGCATGAGGCAGGGCGGGGAGGGGCGTGGCCAGGACGGGCGAGGTCACCAGGATGGCCTGAAGGTTCTGGGTAGACACCAGGGTTGCATGGGATGAGGTCAAGGGAGGGTGGGCGTGTGGGCGTGACCAAGCAGCCTGAGTGGACGTGGTCGGGTAGGGAGAGGTGAGTGTGGCTAATGTTTTGGGCGTGGTCTGTGTACCTGTAGGACTGCAGAATGTCAATGATTCCGATGTGCAGCAACAGCCGCTCCCCGCGCCCATTTACAGCCGGGATCCCACCCATCCTGTGGAGAGAGACTCGTATCAGCTGAACACAGGAAGGCCGGGTCCACAAGTCTGGGACCTCTGCCCGGGGGGAGTAGGTGGCTGAAGGCTAAGCAGACACAACAATCTCCATGCACGCATGTGCACTGCACCCAGGGCACGGCTGCCGCGCGTCCTAAGCTGCTAACCACCCCACAGCAGCTGCACAAGGCCCAGCCCAGGTAGTGGTGCCCCGCAGCTCGCTCACTCCACACGGCGCACGGGCTCACACGGGCTCACCTGGTTCCCGAGGGGCCCCGCACAGACCCTACAAAAGCCAAGGTGGTTTGAGCAGGACGGCCTCACAGGGCCTCTGCTCTCTTCTCCCTCCACGGGGACAGAGCTGAGGCCAACAGTCCTCAGGAGTCACTGGCCTCACCCCAAGGCTGTGACTGAGGTCGCCCTCCCAACACTAGAGACTCTGTACCCATAGTTGGAGCTCTGAGGGGTGGTACGCCTGTCTTTCAGGGCCGTGGGGTAGTAGATGAAGAAGGGAGGGTCAGGTTGTCCCCACAGGGCCACGACAAAGCCACTGCCCGTCTGTTATTAGACGGGTCTCACTAGGCAGCCCTGACTGACCCAGCTCCACTCCCCTGGGGCCGGGCCGTAGCTGGGAAGGAGCTTGCAGGCTAGGAGCACAGGAGAACAGCCATGAGCCGGGGGGTGGGGGTGGGGGTGGGGGGGCACAGCCGAGGACCCCCGTCACCCCACGTACGTGTCATCCGTCTCGATGGCTTCCCCGCGGGCAGCACCACCCTGGATGGACTCCATGGCTGTGGAGTACAGGGCCTTCTGAGCCACGGGTCGCTTCTCATCCGCCGTGCTGCGGGCACCTTCGGCCTGGCGCTCTCGCTCCTGTTGGTCGATGTTGTGCACGCCCAGCAGGAGGCTGTAGTCCATGATCTTGAAGCTTTCTAGAACCTGGCGCCAGGGACAGGTCAGGGGACAGGTGACCCAGCTGCCGACCCAAACCTAATGGGGACCCGCTGCACACTGGACACGGGTATCTAAGCGCCTTCTGGACAGACCTGAAGGTCTGGGGTTCTGGAAGGACCAGATCTGTCACTACTCGCAGATCTAGGGCTCAGATCGGGGGGCACTCAGTCCTCCTGGGGTCTCCCACGGCTGGAAGCCTTAGAGCTATGGACGGTGACTTCAACAGGACAGTGCTGATGACGAATGTGGCCTTCACAGTCTCCACAAGACACAGGGGTTCAGGGACTGCACCTAGGTAGGCCTTGTGAGCACACCTTTAATCCCACGTGAGATGGAGGCAGGTGGATTTCTGTGAGTTTGAGTCCAGCCTTGTCTACATAGCAAATTTCAGGGCAGCCTGGGCTACATAGTGAGACCCTGCCTCAAAAAACAAAGATGTAAACAAACAAAAGGTGCAGCCTTTAATCCCAGCACTCAGGAGGCAGAGGCAGGTGGATCTCTGTGAGTTCGAGGCCAGCCTGGTCTACAGAGCGAGTTCCAGGACAGTCAGAGTTATACAGAGGAACCCTGTCTCAAAAAAACACAATTAGCCGGGCGTTGGTGGCGCACGCCTTTAATCCCAGCACTCGGGAGGCAGAGGCAGGCGGATCTCTGTGAGTTCGAGACCAGCCTGGACTACCAAGCAAGTTCCAGGACAGCCTCCAAAGCCACAGAGAACCCCTGTCTTGAAAAACCAAAAAGAAAAAAGAAAAAAACCCCACAATTATTTTGCCTTATTTTTCAGAAAAGGTTTCATGTAGCCCAGGCTGGACCTCAAACTCACTATGTAGCTGAGTCTGACCCTCCTGAGTAAAGCCTGTGCCACCACACTTGATTTCTGTGCCACTGGAATGGAACCCAGGGCCAAGCATGTTGCGCAGGGGCCCTACCCACTGTGCCCTGTTCCCTGCTAAGTGCCCGTTTCTTAGTGTGTGAAGCTGGGGACAGAGGCCAGCCCTATGCTACCTAAGCGCTAACCACTGATAAACCCTCAGCCCTGTCTTCATTTTTAAGAGGGTCTGTTTAGCCTCCACAGGCTTTCACTAACTCACTAGCCTGGGCGATCCTCCTGCCTGCCTCAGCCCCCGGTGCTGGACCAGAGTCACCAAAGCAAACGCAGCTCCAGCGTGAGGACGCACGCTTACCAGGCAGTCGCGCTGCAGTGTCTTGACCAGGGCGCCGAAGGTGTCGGCGTCCAGCAGCAGCCCCTCGGGCATGTCCTGCATGAAATCCAGGTCCTTGTAGGTGGGCAGGCTCTTTTCCTTCTCCTTCTTGCTCGCCCTGCGCTTGTACGTGGAGCCCTTGAGGTCGAACTTGAGATGCATCTTGACGACCCGGGGCAGCACGTTGTTCATGACCACCACGCGGATGTTCTTACCGCCAGACTGCACACAGTACAGCCCGTAGAACTTGGGCAGCAGCGTGCGTGGGTTCTGGTTGAGGTTCTACAGGGCAAGGGAGCGAGGGGCCGTCAGATGGCTGGGCCTCAGCCTCAGCCCCGGGTATCTGAGGAGCAGGGGTCATGCGCCACGATCTCCCAACTGCCCACTTGCCATGCTCCCAGGTGGGGGGCTCTAGGTGGGGCCACCCACCCTGACCATGTCCATAGGCCCTCCCCCACTGGGGGTTCTAGGCGGGCCCCACCCTGACCTCACTCCCAGGCCTCTCATCGAGCTTTGAGACAGGGTTTCTATGTGTAGTCCCGCCTGTCCTGGAACCCACAGACACACTTTGCTGGCTGAGTGTTGGGATTAAAGGCGTGCACCACCACCATCCGGCTCTCCTCCAGTTTGAAATTTTTTTTCCGAGACAGGGTTTCTCTGTATTGTTTTGGCGGCTGTCCTGGAACTCGCTCTGTAGACTAGGCTGGCCTCGAACTCACAGAGATCCACCTGCCTCTGCCTCCCGAGTGCTGGGATTAAAGGTGTGTGCCACCAACACCCGGCCCAGTTTGAATTTTTATGTACATGAGTGTGCATGCATGTTGTGTGTGCCTGGGGTCCACAAAGGCCACCCGTGGCTATGAGCTGCCACGTGGATGCTAAGAACTGAGACCCTGCCCTCCTGCAAGAGAAGCTGGTGCCCTTGACACCGGGGCCACCTCTCTCATCCCCATCACCTCTTTTTTGCTGATTTCTTGATTCTCACTGTGGTCCTGGCTAGCCTGCACTCACTTGTAGTCCAGGCTGGCTTTTAGCTAAGAGGTCTGCCTGCCTCTGCCTCCTGTTCCTGAGAGGTGGGATTAGAGGTGTGGGTACTTTTTGAGACAGATCCCACCCTACAGTCATCCTGTCTCAGTCTCCATGGCAGGGTGACCGTCTGCATTGGATCCGTGCACTAGCACGCACGTGGAGGTCAGGGGCCTTTTCCCCGAGCTGCCCGCGGCCCCTGATCCTGCACAGTCTCCCAAGGCTCTTAAGGTCAGAGCTCCCACCCTGTCCCATCTTAGGGACAACACAGTGGCTGGATCAAGATCAGAACGCGTGGGGTCCCACTCTGAGTATCATTCGTAAGAAAGATGCCCCAGAGGAGAAACTGAGTCAAAGTCTCTGCTGGTGGGCTACTCAGGGTGGTTACAATCAGGCCTGTGAAGTCACTAATGAGGTGCCTGACCTGGGCTGAGAGTCTGGGGAGTCTGGGGTGAGGGGAAAAGGGGGAGCCAGCCCCTGACCCTGGTAGCGCCTTTTATGAGGGGCCTTCTCATTTGTTCCCCTGACTGAGTGTCCCCAGAGAGAGAGAGAGACAGACAGACAGACAGACAGAGACAGGGACAGAGAGACAGAGGGGGCGGACAGAGGGAGACAGACAGAGACAGAGAAAGACAGAGAGACAGAAAGGGACAGACAGAGACAGAGAGAGAGACAGAGAGAGACAGAGAGACAGAAAGGGACAGACAGAGACAGAGAGGGACAGACAGAGACAGAGAGGGACAGAGAGTGGGAGACACTGCTGTGGGCCTGAAGTATGCATAGCAGACTGGGAGCGGGGAGACACCCACATCCGTCTCCCTGCTTGGAGCCTGCAGAGACGGTTCTGGAAGGTCCCGCACCACCCATGCCCACACGCACGCACCATGTAGTAGCCGGGTAGCAGCTTCTGCAGGAATTCGGCCTCCTTGTGCATGACGGTCTTGATGATAAACTCGTCGTCGCTGGTGACGTAGAAGACAGAGCCGCTGGCACCAGGGTTGGACAGCTCGATGAGCGGCTCATTGCACAGCGAGTACTGGAGGGCGGGGCGGGAGGCGTGAGCAGCTGGGGGCTTGGTGTCCCGTGTGACTTCGTACGTAGTCCCCCCTGGCCATTACACAGCCGGGCCATCCGTCTGTCCTTCCTCCACCCACTGCCATGAGCCCCCAGTGTCCTGGGAAGGCAGGGACGCCCACACCTGGCAGCATTCCCCTCCCCACACAGCTGCCCCAGAGTGTCGTGGTGCGGGACACACGAGAATCCAGAGCCGCCCTGTGCCCCTGTCCAATGTACACATCTTCCCAAGTTCACGTCCTGCAAGGTCCCTCAACCAGGGCTGGGCTGCCCGGCCTGAAGCCCCGGCGGCTCCAGATGAACCCACCCGCTCCAGGAGACCAGCTCAACAGGAGCCGGCAAACAGGGACCACAAAAGGCACATGGGGCAGACAGACCGCCATGGGGCAGACAGACCGCCATGGGGACAGACAGACCGCCATGAGGACAGACAGACCGCCATGGGGACAGACAGACCGCCATGGGGACAGACAGACCGCCATGGGGACAGACAGACCGCCATGAGGAGGCCCATGGGTGGTGCTGGAGCTCAGGAGAGGGTGAGGCTGTGAGGAGGTATTTTCTTTCTTTCCTTTTCTTTTTTTTTTTTTTTTAGGAGGTATTTTCTAAAAGGGCTGCGGGACACCCAGAGGAGCTGCACGCAGCAGCTGTTGTCCGGCAGCAGCCTTGGTGACGCTAACTGATAGGCTTACCAAGTAATCGTCTGGCCGGATGCCGAAGAGCTCCCGGAAGTAACGGAAGGCAACAGGTGCGTAGGTCTTGAAGCGGAAATCCTGGAAGTGGTGGGCAGGGGTGAGGTTGCTCCCTTCACTGCAGAGGAGGATGCGGGGACGGTTGTGAGGGTGGTGGCTTTTTGTGGAGCCTCTGCCCATTCATCCCACACACAACCCAATGACCGACTTGGGGCCCCTGCTTAGAGAGGGCGTGGTTACTGGACAGACCCTTCTTCCCTCCCTCCATGTGCTCAGATGGAGGTCAAAGGCCAACCCCCTGAGATGCAGAACCCAGAGGTCACCGATTTGGCTATGAAGTCCCTGCCTGCCCCACACTAAGGTGACAGATGCCCACCAGGCCTGGCTTGAGTGGTTTTGGGACCAAAACACTGAAAGGCACACCCAGATGACAGCCATGTCACCCCCAGCTCCTCCTGCAGTCAGAACAAGGCAGGGCAGGCCAGCCTCCCTTGCAGCTATGGTCATGTGACCACCCCTGGCCAATGAGTGCAAGCAGGGCAGCCGCCACGTGTGCCTCCTTCCCACTGCTAGAGTGCAGATGCCAAGGAGCGCAGCTGGCTCTCGAGGAGACCTCCTGCCCGGCCACCGGAGGGCAGCGTGGCGGGCCAGGGCATACCTGGGGAAGAAGATACTCTCTACCACATAGAAGTCCTGCATGAGCACGTCCCGCTCCGGCTTAGAGCTGAGGTTGCCCACTGTGTACCCGATCCCCAGCTGGATGGCGCCCTTCAATGTGGACGAGGTGGTCTGCGGAGAGGGCCGACGGCGTCAGGACCCTCGAGGTCTGTGCAGCACCCCCCTCCCCAGTGTGCTACAGCAAGACCCAAGCACCATCCAACCTACAGCCCCCGCACTGCAGGGCCCCACCACGCTACAAGGGTCCGCCAGTACAGGAAGTGGATTTGTGGGTACGGGCTCAGAGGGGCAGCTGCTTCTCACGGGGATGGGCGGGTTTTCTTTGGGAGTCACACAATGTTCCAGGATGGGCCAGCAGGGACAGTTTTGTATCTCTGATGGCTGCACACTGTGTGCTGACTATGTCACTCAACTGTGTGTATGGCAGCAGTCCCCTTCCCCCCAGCTACCTTCTTATATGTGGTCTCTCCAGATGCATCCACGCCTCGATGGCCCAGCTTCTTCCCATGGCCAGGGCCAGGCTGCCCTGTCACCAAAGGGGCCTGGGGAGCAAAAGCAGGTTAGGAATGCTGCCAAAGGCCCTGCGAGTGCAGAAGAAGGGGGCTTGGGAGGCAGGTGTCTGGAGCTGTGGGGACAGAGGCCAAGTCTGCAGTTCTAGGCACCTGCCACTAGGGGGTGCACTGCTCCCAAGCAACCAGATGGCTGCCCCCCCCCCCCCACCCACTCCCAAAGTTCTGCGTCTCTGGGTGTCCCTCCCATCTGAAGACTTGAGGGAAAACCATCTACAGTCATGGGGACAAGGTCCTCAATTCCTCACCATGGACTCAGGACTCTCAGGCCCAGAAGCAGGTGGGATCCCATCAGGGCCCCAGCCTCTTACAGTATGGATAATGGGAACACACACACACACACACACACACACACTCACACTCACACATACACACTCACTCACACACTCACACATACTCTCACACACGCACACTCACACACACATACACACTCACACACTCTCACACACATACACACACACTCACACACACTCTCACACACATACTCACACACACACACTACTGCTCTCCCTGTCCACAGAAGTGCTGTGCACAGTTGGAGGACACGCATCGGATGCTCAGGCCCTGCCTCCTCGGAGAGGCGGGTTGGGACTCACCTCTGCAAGGACTGCTTTCTTCTGGGTCATACCTGCAGAGGGAGGGCACGTTTAGCATGTGTCTTCCGTGTTTCAGCTTGCGGCACACATGGAGGACAGAGGCCCAGGGTGCCTCCCTCAATTGCTCTCCACCTTGGTTTGCTTTTTTTTTTTTTTTTTTTTTTTGTTCGAGACAGGGTTTCTCTGTGGCTTTGGAGGCTGTCCTGGAACTCACTTTGTAGACCAGGCTGGCCTCGAACTCACAGAGATCCGCCTGCCTCTGCCTCCCGAGTGCTGGGATTAAAGGCTGTGCCACCACCGCCCGGCTGGTTTGCTTTGTTTGTTTGAGACAGGGTTTCTCTGTGTAGCTCTGGCTGTCCTGGAACTCACTCTGTAGACCAGGCTGGCCTCTTGGCTTTTGAGATGGGGTCTCTCACTGAACCTGGCACTCACCATTACACTGCGTGGTCTCTCAGGGGCTCGTCAGCCCCCCTGTCTCCATTTCCCCAAGGCACCCAGCTTTTACCTATGTGCTAGGGATTCAAACTTGCTCCCCCAGCTTGCACAGTAAGCCTTTACCACCAAGCCTGCCCTGGTCCATGAGGGGTGTCTGGTGTGTATGTGTGTCTGTGTGTCATTGTGTATGTATGTGTGTCTAGTGTGTGTATGTGTGTGTCTGTGTGTCATTGTGTATGTATATGTGTGTCTGTGTGTGTGTGTCATTGTGTATGTATGTGTGTGTCTGGTGTGTGTGTGTCTGTGTGTGTGTCTCTTTCTCTCTACCCCAGACTCCCTGGGGTCCCTGAGAGATGGGGACGAGGTGACTGTGCTATGTGTGTTTCACAGCCAGGGTTGTGTGGACTGCAGAGCTGGTAAAGAAGGCACCAGGGACTTGGAGGCTGTGGGGTCCTAGAGTGGGTGGAGGCCACGGGACTCACAGGAGGCGCTGGAGGCTGGCCCATGCTTGCCTTGGTGTCTCTACAGAGGGACACTCTGTGGTCTCGAGTCTGGGGCACAGACAGTGTTCACAGCATGGAGCTGCTGGGGCCACAGACCACAGTCGCTGGGTGAAGAAGGCGGGGGTGGGGGTTGGGGGGGTGAGGGGTGGGTTTGGATTGGTGGTGATTCTGCCTCCTAGAACCCAGTGTCACTGCAGGGTCCTGGGAGACAAGGAGGCTGCGAGGCAAGGGATGCAAGCACCAGATACTTGGCACAGCTGGGTTCAGGGAAAACACCCTGACCCCGACCCTGACTGGGACTGGGGACCACGGGCAGCCCCATGCGGTTGAGAATGGGTAGCCATCAGCCGGTCACCTGGAAGCCAGTGGAAGGTTCTACAAGCTGATCTGGCATTTGCCTTGATAGTGGAGCAATGTGTGGATTCGGCAGGGGGCCCAGAGAGGAGGAAGGAGGAGAGGTGGGGGGGGGGCTGGGTGAACCAAGGCAGAATAGAATGTTCTGGAACTTGTAGGAGGCCCCTGGGGTTGCAAGCGAGAACTCAGCAGCTCCCAGGGTTATAGATGACATTCCGAAGTCCCAAATCCCAGCCCCTCCCACAGCCACGCTGAGACCCCAGTGTGACCCATGGGTGCTCTGATCTCACTTGAGGTCTTACCTGTCTCCCCTCCTGCCTGGAACGTGGGAGCCAAGACAGACCCTGGGGACACGGTTGGGAGGGGGACAGCGTCCGTCACTCCAAGGCCCTGCCTTCTCCTCCCAGCTAATTATCTTCTGAGCGAACAGCCCCGTTTTCCAGGAAATTATGTTTAAAAATAGTCAGGGGGGAGGGAGGCAGGGGCAGCAGCTGGCTGCGGGTGTGGTGCGTGAGTCCCGGTCAGCCCACGTGTGCCCGCAGCCCCCAGGCAGGTGCGTGACTCCTCCTATGTGGGGTCATGCAATGACCCCTTGACCTTCAGGCCACCGTCTGCTCCCCCAATGCTGTGTTACCCCTGGTAAGTCTACAAATCTCCCTGGGCAGGTTGGGAGCTGTGACCCACCCCTGAGGGTGTCACCCCGGCCACACCCTCCATTTCTGAAGACGAGGCTGTGCCCATCACCTACAGACTCCTCACCAGGTGTCTCCTGGCCAGCCATCCTCGGCCTCACCAGTTCTGAGGACCCCGTCTGCTTCCGCTCGGCAGCGTCTGCAGATTGACTGTGGGATGCACCCCAGTTCTCTGCCCCCACACACTGTGTGCTGTGACGCTGAGGCAGGGAACACGGAAACTGGGGCCATCCCAGCTGCAGATCCCAATGACACCAACACAGGACAAACAGAGAGACCCAGAGTACAGGAAGGAAGGAAGGAAGGAAGGAAGGGGCTGAAACGCACAGAAACAGAAACTGCAGCCAGGGAGATCCCTGACCCCTGACCCAGCCTTCGCTGCTCAGAGCGGGGACTGGACAGGTCAGGGGGAAGCATGGCTGGGGGAGGAGTCAGCCCACAGGTTGGGTCCCGCCACGCGCTTCCTGTCCAGACGCCTCCCCGCTTCCCTGCCCCATCCTGCTGCCCTCGGCACGGCTGTGCCCCTCAGCCAGATTCCGACAAAGCTTGCCTGTGACTGAGAAAGACCCTCAGACAGTCCTCACGCGCAGCTGCTAAGGGCCTGGTGGCTGACAGCGCCACGCCACACTACACGTGACCTGCTGTGGCCCTGGGAAGAGCATGTCAGAGAAAGAGACGCCTGAAAGCTGGCACGAGGTGCTGGCACCACTCACGCACAGGAGCTGCTCCAACTAACCACGACCACGAGACCCACAAAAGAGCAGCAACCCCAGGCACAGCGACAGGGCTGCCGGCACAAGTCATGCAGGGCTCCGTCGTGCAGGCCGCCAGAACAGCAGCCGGCCACACTCAGACGCGGGGCTGTGCCGCGACCTGGAGGAGGACCGCGGCCCCGCGGGATTCCTGCCCTGTTCATCCACACAATGGAGTACTACACAGCCAAGAACAGGAACAACCCTGAGGTCTCGTGCTCAGAGAGACTCAGACAAGCCAGCCACAGAGTGGACACCGACAGGACACGCCCAGGAGAGGAGACCACAGGGAGAGAAGTGTTTGTGGGCCACGGGCTGCCTTAGGGCAGTAAAGCTTCCTTTGAGAGACCCGTGTTGAGGAAAAGGTAGATTTGCGGGCTGCACAGCCAGGGAACACTCAACACCATGCAGGCTACACCATAAGAAAGTGATGCCTACAGTTTACCAATTGGGGCTCAAAAGCCCCAAGTTGAAGCCCAGAAGCGAGTGCCGTGGCTGTGAGCACTCCGCGGCCGCCTAGCCTCATGGGACCTGCAGAGCCCAGCTGCCACAGAGCTGCAGCCCTGACCTCCAAGTCGCCAGGGTCAGGACACTGTGTCCAGACTTTGCAGCCAAACCTTTCGCAGAGAACCGCCCGCCAACTTCCCTCAGCAGCGGCACACCTTGCTCTCGGCACGCTGTCCCTCAGTGTATGAGGCACAGGCCAGTGGTTCTCTGAGGAGAGACAGCTCAGCTTCCTGAGAAACAGGCAGGCCAGAAGGCCGAGGCCACAGCCGAATCAGGAGTCTGACCACGTGCAGCTGGGAAAACCGTGGACACTCAGTGCGCCAGCGCGGTTTAACGGTCTCTGCGACAGCCATTTTAGGGGACTTTACAGACTTCAGAGTAATCTTATCCTACAGGAAGAGCCACCTGACCCAGAGAAGGTCTACGAGGGAGGGACGGGGCCATGCCGCTCAGAGACACTGCAGGGCACCCACAAGGCCCTGGCCGCGAACCCACAACAGCAGACACAGAAAATAAAAGGAGAGATGGTGAGGCAGACGGAGAAGGAGAAAGAGTATCTCAGGCAAGGAAGTGATCAGAACTGACATCCACCTTTCCAAGACTCCAGAGGCTGAGGCAGGGGGACAGTGGTGAGTTGGGTGTCACCATGGCAACGGTGGCTGCTGAGGTGGTGGGCCAAATCTGTCATCTCTGCACAGGGAGGTAGAGGCAGGAGGCCCAGAACTCATCTACTTGGCTACTGTTCAGGATCAGAAGGGTCATCCTTGGTTACATGGTGACCTTAGGCCAGCCTGGGCCACATGAGACTTTCTCTCATACAAGAAAAGCTGTAGTGTCTCCTGTGGGCGACCATCTTTCCCTGGTGAGCAAGTCACCACAGTCCTGGTATGTCCTGTCACCCACACACTGAGAGACTGGGCCCTGGGAGCTGCTGTGGAGCAGGAAGGGTCCAGGGTCCCAAAGAAAGAAAATTCACCAAACCCTGCAGGAGCCACCACCTGGGTCCTGGTGCAGTGGCTTTCCCGCTAATCTATCCCACACTGAAGACACCACTGACGCCAGGCACTGTGCCCCACGCCCACCCAGGAGACTGAGGCAGGGGGTGACACGTCTCAGGCTAGCCTGGGCTACAGAGCAAGATGGTATCTACTGTGGTGTGTGGCAAGAAGAGGAAGTTAAGACGTCTCACTGTGTAGACCAAGCTGGCCTTGAACCCACAGAGATGCCTCTACCTCTGTCCCCCAATGCTGGGCTGGGGCAGTGCTGGGCAAGCGCCCCGTCTCCCTCAGATCGCACCTGAGGGCTGGCGGAGGCTGGGGACCCTGCGGTAATGGCCTCACGGTGGCAATGGGGAGCTGAGCGTTGAGGCCTGGAAGCCAGACGGCACCTGTGTCGCGGGATGGGTAGAGGCACAGGACAAGGGTCTGCTGCTGCCAGTCCCCAGAGTGATTATCCGGGTAATCATAACCTCCGGGGGCCCGAGCCTTCACACCAGGGCGCTCTGCTTCTGGCTTAGGAAGAACACATGCTGAACGCGCCCTGTCCCGGGTGCCTGCTGCTCAGCTCGTCATGTGCGGTCCCCGTCACTGCCCCAGCCAGCGGCTCGTCCAGGCGCCTTGGCTCAGCTGACACCACTGCTGTTGCTCAGCTCTCAGGGACGGCCTTCCTGCCCAGCTGCCTCTCAATACCCTCAGAGTGAACCGAGGCCGTGCTCACAGCCCCCTCCCGGCTGAGCCTACGGGTTATCTCAGGACACTCGCAGGTGCTGGACCATTTGAGGATTAAATAA